ACGGTGTGCTTTTAGTGATTAGTGACAAACGGCACCGAGGAATGACGCAGACCCAGATCGAATGGATTTGAACATTTCAGTCATCCGAGCAGCGTGCTAGCTTACACTTCATGCTGATTATATCACAGACTATCTGCTTGTTCATCACATGCTTTGTGTCAAAGAGCTTTGGACTGGATCACCTTATATAACAAAAACATACTATTCTGCTCATCTGCTTAATCTGACCCACTGGATAACATTTCTTCTGGGTAGAGGCAGACAATTTTCCAGCTCAAATCCTCCAAAAGGCGCTCTGTATCCCAATCCCTCTTTGCTGAACATTTGGCTTCAACCACAATATGCGTCCTTGTGTGCCGTTCACTTTGACAAACAGGGGAACATGCACTCCCACCACTCCTTCTGTCCTTGGCATTACCAAGTTAGCCAGACCACTCTCCTTATCCCACTTAACATTGTTATATTGTTAACATGTCAATACTGGTGCTCAATGAGTGATTCTCCTATTGTGTCCACACATAACAACAGGAAACACTGATGGCAGGCGTTTTGATTGGGAGCCGCGTGACACACTTTAAGCCCCTCGATCCTCTTTTTTGAGAGAGTTGTCAGGGCTTTTTCCAACCCGCCTCCCGTAACAAAGAGCGTCCCTAAATTTATCACGCTAGACAAACCCCTTTAAGTTAATTACTCGGCACCGAGGACAACAACACTGATGTGTGCTGACACGAAAACACTCAGGGTGGACAGGGCCGAGCGACTGGGAAGCCCGGGGGCAGCCGCTGTCTCAGTCGGAGCATCTCTGTGAGGGTGTTGCAGCACTCAGCGGGCAACCAGCAGAAGGGGGAGAAAAAGAGAGGGCAGGCCTGCTCACAAAAGCTACAGAAAAACACAGCTTAAAGAAATGCAAAGCACCGGGTTACTGTTGGGGGTCAGCATATGTGGAGCGCATCTTCTAACCAAACCTCCTGATAATTTAAGTTTAATAGGAGAGAGTTAATGTTCTGCTCAATATGGATGAAGGCCATGAGGAGAGAAAATAAAGCTCTCATTAACACAACGAGAAGATGAATTTTCATCAAACCTGGCCTCCTTTTTAGTAGGCCACGTTAATCAGAATCCCCACAAATAAACCAGCTGGAGAACCTGAAAAAGCTAACAAATCCTGTTAAAATAATAAAGTGCATAATTATTCTAACTCCAGCACACACTTCAGGGTGGACTTAGTGTATCAGGTAGGGGAAAAAAAAACGTAGGATTTCATTAAAGTGATTGCAGGTGCATTTTACACATCAGTGACTTATTCTGGATCCAGGCCAGCAAGGTCAAGCCCAGACATCTCTCAGATAGTGATTAGTGCAGGCCTTTAAAGGGCTTTTTAGTACTTTAGCATCTCTACCCACGTTAATGTTTTTAATCCTGAAAAGAGGAGTTGAAGCACATCTGTGTTTAGCAGTGTGTCTTGCAGACCTACCCAGATCTCCTTGAACACTGTTGTCATGAGAGGTCCTGCTGGACGTGGTGGAATCCCCGTCGCTGGGCCAGATCTGGCCCGTTTTGCGGACCCCGATGATGGAGGCCTCAGAAACCTGCTGCTTCAGACGTTTCTGAGACAGAGGAGTGGGCGGGCTGCTGCTGTCGAAGGACTGCTGGGAGTGCTGTGAGGGCGAGCGGCTCTTCTCCCTGTATATCTGATAGGTGGTGGGGCTGGGGGACACGTGGCTGGACTGGCCCGAGGAGAAGTCCTCCTCACTGGATGTCAAATTCTCGTTGGAGCTGCAGTCCGGTGTGTAGCCTTCTCCTACATCCTCAAAGCCCCCTGGAGAGTAGGAGCGCCTGGGCCAGGTGAGGTGAGCCTCCTCCTCTACACTGTGGTCCCTAATGTGGATAACCCGAGTGTCCCCGTCAGCCATCATCCCCCCAACGTACACACTGGTGTAGGGCTGGCACTCCACAGGCTGCCGCTCAGACTTCCCCCCAGTGGACCGGATCACACTGTCTTTCAGGAAATGAGGGTTGACCTCGGCGTCGTCATATGACCCGTTGTAGCTGCAGTTCCCCTCAGTGGACCTGCCTCTCAGAACAGCCTTGCTGATGTCCCCCGTGGCAGCTGACAGGTTCCCCGGCAGGGAGTGCAGGGACCTCTTCCTCTCCATCTGCATGGCCTGACAGCCCAGAGTGCTGATCTTGTCTGAGACCTCCCTGTCATTGACTCTGACCAGTCCTCGTTCGTGATGGTACTCCATGTTCACATAGAAGGGTTTCTCCTGGCTGCCTACCACTGACAGCCCTCTGCCATCCCCGGCTGTGTGAGAGTTGGCTCTCCTGATGCGCTCAAAGTTGGACCTCAGAGCCGCCACCGACCCTGTGCCCACTGGGAAATCAGGAAGCTCGGAGTCTTGGCGGACAGGTGACAACCCACCTTTCTGTTTGGCAGGGGACGCACCGTCCACCTCTCCCTCTGGATGTGGTTTACACCTCGCTGTTTTGCCGGGCCCCCTGTGCTGCTGCTCATCGTCCGGGGACTCCTCTGTGTGGGCCCCCAGGCTGCCGGGCAGGTCGCCCTCATTGGTCTGGGGCATCCTTTTAAACCCCCATCTCTGCCCATCATAGGACTTCCTCTCTTTCGCAAGCAGAGTCTGCAGGTAGATCATCCGAAAGCGCTCCTTGTTTACTTCCTTCTCCAAGTGCCTGATAGATGTTTTGCATTTGTCCAACTCCTGTTCAATGTCCCCCATTGAGTTCAGCGCCATGCAAGGAGGATCAGTCTCAGGGAACTGGGCTCTCCACGCCTCCACAAACCCCACCGGCTCAACCATTGTTATCACTCTGACATAAACTGTTCAATCAGCTAACAACACAAACATGCACATTTGTGAAGCACGAACTGGACTGTTTACAACTTACAGCTTCCATAGTGCTGTAGCACACAAATGAAAGAGTTTTGCAGAGGGAATGTGGATCCACTTTACAGGGAAGAAAAACCTGTTCAGTTACAGTCTTTACTCACAGGCACAAGATAAAATCCAATAGAGATAAAATCACAGATCCAGTGTCTTCACTCCTTTTTGACAAAGTCTAAAAGATGTCCAGGGCTGTCCTTTTCCCTGCCTCGGTGTCCTCTCTGGAGATCCTGTGTCCTGCTCTGTGCTTGCTGTCAGACTGACTCGCAGCTCTCTGGTGTTGTGGCTCTGCAGCAGAAGGAGGAGGGGCTACAGGGATGAGACTCAGGTTTACACTCCAAATGCAGAAAAAGATTAACGATCACTTTCTAGAATACCCTTTCTAATCGAAAAGTGTTTCCAGATAGAGCTGATTCCGGCAACAGAACATCAACCAGAACACGTTTTCCCGTGAAAATGTCGAAAATGACAGCTACTGAAAGATAAGATCTCAAATAATAGAAGGGACGGTGTAAAAGTGTAAACGACGCTGTGGTTTTCCAGCAGGAAAGTGTCCTCTTCTTCTTCTTCTTCGTCTTCTTCAGGATGTTGCAGTTCAGGTGGATAAACAAAAAACGAGCTCCCGACTTTACAAACAGCTAATCTTTTGCTGGTTGCTCAAACTCAGCCGCGATTTTCAGCCCTTTGGAGAAACAAATTAATCTTTCCCTGTTTCCTAACCAGCTCCAGGCATGTCGTTTTATGACACGGCACACTTGTCCTTTCAGCTACGCTCTGAAAACTCTGTTTAATCCCACAAAGTTCACTGTTTTGCAATCAGAGCTGCTGCTGCTGCTGCGGGGAAACACCGCCACCTGACGGGCTGCTGTGCTGCGTTCACGGACAAGCTCAACCTCTCACCACATGCTGTTTAAACTCGTTTGTTGAAATGATTTTAAGATCATTTCACTGGTTTAAAATGGCCAAATACTCATAGTCTTACTTATTTATCAAATTTTATTTTATTCTACGACCCTTCAGAACCACCAGGTCTTCTGTTTTAGGCCTTTTAATTGAACAAAAACCCACACTGAGGCAGCCTTTGTTATTGTGGCCCACATCACTGGAACAACCTTCCGGAGGACCTGAGGGCAGCAGATTAATATTAATACTTTTAAAAGCCAATTACACCAAACAAAGCCCACGTTTTTAAACCTAGCTTTAAACTGATTTTATTTCTTCGTATATTTATTTTCTGTGGTTCCAGAATAATCTTCTGAATGTCAGTTTTTATTATTGTACTACTAACTAAATTCATTAGACCTATTGGTGTAATTTCAAAGTTAGATATCAAATTAAATCTGTCTAAATAGCTTGATTCTGCTATTGAGAAGCCACTATTATTTCATTTTATTTGTTCGTGTACCTTTTGGAATGAACCAATATGGTAAATATATTGGAAGAAAAAAGTTTAGTGAGCACTGTAAAATACCAAACAATAATAATGCAACCAAATTATTAAGGCCTACACCCAAATACACTGCAGAAGACTATTGCTATTATTATTATTATTATTATTATTATTATTATTATTATTATTATTATTATTATTATTATTATTATTATTATTATTATTATGACAGGTATTTGCACAACTATGTAGCGTAACTCACAGGTTGTGAATAATAACCAGTGTGTTAATTGTGAGACTGACTGTTGCCTTACTTTTTATTTACTTAATTGATTATCCAGCAAACGCAAACATCGTTCCTTGAAGCTTCAACTTGTCACACATCTAACATTTAACCCCTGAAAAAAAGCTAAGTCGATCACATTAACTTATGCTTGAGTGCTGGCCTTTGCAATGGCAGGCTGAGCGTATTTTTTTTCAGTGAGATTTGCTTAAATTATCTGAAGCATGAAGCACTTTAGATTGAGTGTTTATTGATTTTTTTTACGCTTCTGCCTGTGCAACTAAAACGCAACTTGCGCACATCAGCGCAACCCAGCTCTCGTGAAGTGACCACTGCAGCTACTTCCTGTTAACAACCTATCCGCGACGCCTTCACGGTTTCCATGGGGCTCATGACAACAACTGTTATCTGTTTCTGTCCGCGAACGAACTAGCTAGTTAAAGATTCAATAAGACGGACTGCCTCAAACTTCCGAAATGTGTCTTTATCGTTTGTGAATAGTTGTTTGAACGACGTAACAATAAGGTTTTAGAGTTTTTGAAACGCAAGTTTGCAAGCTAGGCGAACTTATTTAACGACAGAAAGCGTATTTATGCTAGCGTTAGCTTGCTAATCCAGTAAGAAGGAGCACGAAGAGCTATCAAAGCAAACAAATTCACATTTTCCAAGATGAGCGAACAGCTGAAATTCATCGTTGAACAACTTAACAAGGAGCCATTTAAGAAGAACTTCAACCTCATCACGTTTGACACACTGGAACCGATGCAGCTGCTTCAGATTTTAAATGATGTTCTGGCTGAAATCGACCCAAAGGTGAGCGAATAGTTCCAGTCACCTCAGTTTAAACACTTGTATCTGTGCTAACACTGATGATGTGTGATGTCTTACTACGGTGGTGTTCATGAATTATTCTGTTATAGGTAACTATTCTCTCCTGTTCTTGTTTTCAGCAAACTATAGACATCCGTGAAGAAATGCCTGAGCAAACTGTAAAGAGGATGTGTGTTCTGCTAGGGATGCTGAAATATAAACCTCCTGGCAATCTCTCTGATGTGTAAGTGTCTGCATCTAGTTTAATCTCAAACACTCCCAATCTTGTTCAGTCAAACACTTAGTTGTAGTCTTGAAATGTGTATGCTTTCCTTATTCTGTTTTTCTGACTTAAATCTTTATTAAAGATCCATAACAGTAAACGATGCCCACAGCATAGAGAGGGATACATTCACTTCAGTGCCAGCCACATGTGTAAAATATAGCTCTAGTGGATGAACAAGGAGTTTTAAAGTCAAAGATGTTGTATTAAAGTTTATGTTCTGTTTGTTTAACTGTTGTTTAATAAATTGCTATTAAGCAAAATTGGACAGACTTTAAATGGCTATTTTAATACTCAGTTCTTATCGTGTTGAGGCTGGTGATTTTCCCTTGGTGAATGATAAAACCATTGCATTTTCTGACATTTCCAAAAGACATTACAAAAAACTGTACTGGTGCCTCACAGCTCGAAGTTCCTGGGTTCAAATCTTAAGCTGGGGCTTTTTTTGATGGCATGTTCTCCCTGTGTCTTCATGGGTTCCCTCCAGGTGCTATGACATGCTGAGCTTAATTGATGATTGTAAATTGGTCATGGGTATGAGAGTTAGCATGCATGGTTGTCTGTCTTTGTCTCTTTCTCTCTGTGTTGACCCTGTGATGAACTGGTACTTGTTCAGGGTGTAACCTGCCTTTCGCTCTGTCAGCTTGGATAGACTCCAGCCCCCCTGCAAACCTACACAGGATAAAGTGGATATAGAAAATGGTAAAATGGATCTGAGTAATCTAAATCAAACAGTACACACTCACTCCAACACTTCTGACATTAGTTTAACTGCTTCCTTTTAACCTTAAGTGTTATGAAGAAACTTTTTCCAAGAGAATTAATTCCGTGTCCATTGTTTGGTGGATATGTGATCAGTCATCTGCATGTTTAGTCACCAATGATCTGCAGTTTCTATATGCTCTCCTTTTTTTCACATCTTGCAGGAGCAGCTTCAGACAGGGTCTGGTGACTGGCAGCAAACCTGTGATCCACCCAATCCTTTACTGGCTGCTGCAGAGGGTTGCTGAGCTGAAGAAAAGGGCCTACCTAGCTCGTTTTCTGGTTAAGCTTGAGGTGCCAGCAGAGTTCCTGCAGGATGACGTCATCAATGACACCTATCACCAGGTTTGTTACTATATTAAAGGTACAGTCGGCAAATAATTTTCTAGTTTTTGGAGCTGCTAAAAGGCAGAAGTAAATATGTTGTGTGTTAACAGTATGAAGAGCTGGTGGAAGGATTTAAGACGTATCATAAGGAATGTGAGCAGCTCAGAACTTCAGGCTTCTCCACCTCTGAAATCAGGAGGGTAAGAAAATAGACAGTAATTCTTTACAGTCAATTTTTGTTGAAAGTTTTTCATGCTAAGCTTTGCACGTATAAAAAGGTCATAAACTGGCATAAATTAGTTTTTCTCTGTTATAACTAATGTTTTGACAATAAATTAATAATATATGGCCATCTTCTTAAACTTAGTTGATATAATGCACTGAAGTAATACCTCTTTTCTGCAATTATAGGACATTAGTGCCATGGAGGAAGAGAAGGACCAACTAATCAAACGTGTGGAGAGGCTGAAGAAGAGGGTAAGGCAGACTGTTCCACTAGGCCTCATTGCTCCTGTAATGCTTGGAAGGCTTTAGGATTCACTGAGGAATGAAAACATGACCCTAGACATATATTATCAGCTTCTCTAATGGGCCTGACAGGAATCTGACGGGCTGCAAGGCTCTCTTAGAAAAGCTGAGAAGTAATGAGGTGTTGATTTAATGGGTCTTACTTACAGGCCCTGTCAAAAGGTGAAACCTGACTCTGACAGAGGTGCTCAGTTATTTCTGCTGATCATATGATAGCTTGCCATCAGACATAATTATCATTTTAACCTCTTGTTCCACTAGGTGGAGTCAGTGTCCAACCACCAGCGGATGCTGGAGCAGGCCAGGCAGCTGCGAGTGGAGAAGGAGCGAGAGGAGTCATTGACTCACCAGAAACAGGAACAGAAGAATCAGGTAAGTGCTAATAATAATTGTGGTTTATATAATTATAATCGGTCAGATTTATATAGTGCTTTTCCAGACACTCAAAGACACTTTACACTGTCAATTAATCATTCACACACATTCATTCCAGTGGCGATAGTTGCGCTTGTAGTGTTCTTACCGGGACACGAACCAGCAACCTTCTAGATGCTAGGCGACGGTGCTAACCACCGATCCACCTTGCAACCCCCTTTTGAAAACAGAGAAGAAAAAATAACATTAAACATCTTAGGAGTTTTAACATTTTTTTTCTCAGTTTGTGGACTTACCATCAATGCCTTTTCAACTCAACCTGTCTTTCTGTTTCTTTCAGTTCTCATATCTCGTTTGACATAGTTACAAAAACAGAGACATTTCCAATGTTTTGCAAATTAGCCAACTTAACACCTTTAGGACAAAAAGAGTAATCTGAAGCTGTCACCTTTGACTCTGTACATACTTGATAGGTGCTGTTCACTGTGAAGTTCCTGAAATGTTTTTATCTGAAAGAATGACATTTTAATCTGGAAAACAGGAAGATGAACCAGTATGAAAGCAGTTGTTAGGTGTGGCCCTTGTGTTTAATATTGTTAATTTCCCCCATTGCCTGTAGAAGTAACTGTTTTTGTGTGTTCAGCTGTTCCAGGCAGAGCAGAGATTGCTGAGATCGCAGCAGCAGTTGAAGGATATGCGACAGACAGCGACAGATGCCAATCCAGAGAGTGAGTACTCCTGTCCTGCTGCTGCCTCTGCAGGACACAGCTGGATGGGACATTCAAGGGCACAGCAGAGTGTGAGGGGGTCTAACAGCTAATAGGCTTTCATCTGTTGAGACCCTCTAATTATACTGATCTTTGATGTGCTATAATAGAGCTCATCTGATGTTGAAATTGTCTCCTTTTGTTCTCATCTGGTATTGGCCTCCTCGGCCCAAGGCGAGATTTACACATTTGCAGTTTCTAAAATGACCTGTGCAATGCAGACAGAGGTGGAGCTGCACAGTTAATGTCACTTATCACAATTGCTGTATGTATATGTCCAAAAAAAATCAGGAATGCTAAATGGGGTAGCTGTTGTTTGGCATAAGTACTTGTCTTCAACAACATCATGTTGAAAAACTGATCTGTTCCTCAGTATTTCCAGTACCTTTGTATACGTTTGTGGTTTTCTGCTTAATCCAAGTAATCAGAGCCACTGAATGCCTTAAAGGGTTTCAAACCCATTAGGCCCAAAATGCTTAATGAAAAGCTCTGTCTCTGTCAGGCCTGATGAAGAGACTTGAAGAAGAGATCAAAATCAACTCCTACATGGTTTCCGAGAAACTCCCCAAAGAGCTGGAGGGCATGAGGCGTATGGTGCAGTACCTGCAGAAAGTGGCATTGGAGCCTGCAATGGGCCAGTCTGATCTCCAGGAGCTGGAGGACAAGGTCAGGGCCAGGATGTCGTTTCAGGCTTTCACACCTTCAGACAATGCAAGATTCTGATGTGGTAATCTCCAAGTGTTCTTTAATGTACCTTGTCACAGATTAAAGAGGCTGATTCTCAGATAAACCAGCTGATTGAGAAGAGGATGATGAGAAATGACCCCATGGATGACAACCTGACACTGTACAGGCAACAGGTGCTGACCTCATTCAATTTCTTTGATGTCTTTCATCTTTTTGTCTGCTATGTCTTTCATGAATTAAGCCCTGTGGGTGCTGACTGTGATGTTAAAGGTGCTGTGTGCAGTTTTCTTGTGGGTTTTGATAGTTGTTCTTTATTCTATTCACTGTATTTTTCCTCTTAGCTACAGGAACTATTAAATATCTGCTCTAGACAGTGTGTGTGATCTACATCATGGCTTTTTAGGGGAGCTCACATATTCACTTTTTCATGGTCCCAAACAACAGATGCAACATTTGTGAAACACATGATTAATTTCTAGTTGTCAGTAACCAGTGCTACCATTTGGTAGAACACACCCCTGACTCTGGTTGCTCCTTATAGTTAACCCTATTCAGGACTTTCGGAGTCCAGTGGACCCCAAGAAAGACCTTCTACCTATGGCAACATGAAAATCCTGAATAGGGTTAATAATGGTGGATAATGGTAGTCAATGCAGCATAACAATGGTGAATAATTGATTGAATAATGAACAATGGTGCGTCAGTGCACACACAGAGTGGGAAAGCTTGTTCTTCTGGTGTTTTGTTTTACAGCAGTTGGAATTTACGAAATGGAGAGATGCAGGGGTGCATGGAGAGAGCAGCAGGAACTTCAGAGATCCACATATTCTAAAGGACGCAACAGTGTAGAATTACATCAGAGCCAAGGCAGGAGGGGATTATTTTCATTGCAAAAAACAAAATATGTAACTTTGATACACAGAGATGAATTTTTAGGGATTTAATCAATGCCAGGAGATGGACTTTAAAGTGAATTCGGGATGAATCACAGTCATGCATAAATGATACATCAAACATAACCTAATTTTATACACAATCCATGATAATATTTTAGAGACCCAAATCTTGGGAGCTAACATCTAATGAAGAGGAACCAAACTCAGCCTGTTTACACAGTAGTGTGTACCCTGCCTTGAGACATGTTTTAATATTTACAACATTTTTCCATAAAAAAGTTGAGTAGTCTAGTTGTGTTTAAAAAATACCGTCTACTCCATCTTCATCATTTAATAATCCTTTAAAGGCCCTTTAAAATCATTTCTTTTTAAAAGGTTATTCAGGTAATTACTAGATAATAATTACTTTATATGTATAGCACTTTTGAGTTTACAAAGTGCTTTGACAGACAAAGTAAAAGCAGAATATCCAGAAGGAAAAAATAACAACAGGAATCTAGGTGGTAATACCAAACAAAGCAAAGCAAGATTAAGATAAAGTTTAAACACGAAGAAAAACTATGTAAATATACAAAATGCAGAATGTTGATTATAAATAAGACATCAGAATCAGAAACACTTTATTGATCCCCAACGGGCAATTGCTTGAACTATTATTGTCAGAAGTGGGATTCAAACCCACGCCTCCAGGGAAGATTGCGACCTGAACCTGAAATAGAACAGTAAAGCAATAAAAAAAACCTTAACAAGCAATTAAAAGATGACTTCACTTAAGAGCAAGTCTATAAAAATTGGATTCCAGAGTTTAAATAGTCACATATTCTGCGAGCCTTGTTTCTTCAGGCTGGTTGATCCAAAGCTGAGTGGCCCTGATGGTCACATTTGGATTTAAAGCCTTGACTTTGGAAGAGCCAGAAGGGCCCCACCTGAGGCTAAGGCCTGAGGCTAAGCCAAAGACTGCGAGCTGGCTCTATGGGGAAAACATTTCTGGCATGTAGCTTGGGGCCAGACCAAGACATGCTTTTAAAATGAGTAAAATTTTAAAATCAATTTTGCAACAAACAGACAACCAATGGCGAAGGCTGTTATAAATGAGACAGGACATGAACACAACATATCTCCTGGGAAGTCTTTTGTCTGTGTATGTGTTCATGTCTAACGCCTAAAGTAGTTGTGATGTCACAAACCACATATTGTTCTGCAAAGTGAAGCTTAGACATCTGAGCAGTAACAGTTATAAGGTACCACATATTGGGGGACTTTCAGGCTTCATTGTAATGCAAAGCTTTGTGATTGGTTGATATTTTGTACACATTTCCTGTCCAAATTACTAACCTCATTGCTCACTTAGATTCAGTCTCACGTGATAGGTTAAAAGTCATGCAACAAAAACAGTTTTCTCGTGTTTGTGTATCTAATGTAACATGACTCTTCTAGGCCTCCATCATCATTCGCAGGAAAGAGTCAAAGGCGGAGGAGCTTCAGGAAGCGAGGGAGGAGCTGGCGGCAGCAGAGAGGGAGCTAAGGCAGAGGAGCAGCCAGGCACAAGGCTCGGACGGGGAGGAGGTCATCCGTGGTGATGAGGTACATTGTTGGTGTTGATGCTCACTCAGGCTGAAAGATTTGGGGACAATATCAAATTGTAATTTGACACATATTGTCATTTGATTTGCAGTATAGTTTTTCTGCAGTCACACTTTAGTTCAACATTCACTGTGTTGTAGATACAAAACGTGATGAAGCATTACCACTTGGGACACCATCAAAAGTGGCGCTGTCACACGAGGAGAATGGCATAATGTACATCCTGAACTGCAGTTTGATAATTACATTGTTTCAAATCACGATTTTGATTGTAAATTGATTAACTTTTCAGCTGTAGTTCTCACAGTCACAACATAAGGCTGTCCCTGCATATCAATAGGAATGCACAATTTTTGTTTTTTATCAATAATGTTATGTTAAAATTGCTGATTCTGATATATGTACAAAATTTCCACCTAATTGCAGGTGTCCTGTAGTGGAATTGGCCTATATTTATTATGATGGTCCGGTGACAGGTAGAGACAATAAAGAAAAAGCTTTCCAAATGTACGAACACTTTTAGCTGATACTGATAAAAATGAGCTGATACTGATAATGATGCTGAATTCATCGTGCATCTGTAATCCATATCAGCCATGTCTGAATTTCTTTGCAGCAGGGGTGACCTTATTAATTCAGACATTGAAAAAAAGTACCTCTAGCAGCAAGAACATCCATCCATCCATTATCTATACACCGCTTAATCCTCACTAGGGTCGCAGGGGACTGGAGCCTATCCCAGCTGACTTTGGGCGAAGGCAGGGGACACCCTGGACAGGTCACCAGCCTATCACAGGGCTACACTTAGAGACAGACAACCAAGCACACTCACATTCATACCTACAGAAAATTTAGAATCACCAATTAACCATAACATGTTTCTGGACTTGTGGGAGGAAGCCAGAGAACCCGGAGAGAACCCACGCTGCACGGGGAGAACATGCAAACTCCATGTAGAAAGATCCCAGGTGTCCTCACCAGGACGCGAACTGGCGACCTTCTTGCTGCGAGGCAACAGTACTACCAACTCTGCCACCTTGCAGTCCGCAGCAAGAACAGACAAAGACATTTCCTACGTGATTCTCTCCTTTGTGTTCAAGCAAACAGCCAACATCACCTTGCAGAAATTCCAGCTTTATCTAAGTACACACTTTAAGATTTGCAAACCGCACAAAACACAAGTGGCTATTTCTGTTCTTATCCAAACACAGACAGGCTCGCTGTCTAATGTTACTTATCCCTTTTCCCTACTCTCCCTCACATTCCCATGCAGAGCCATAAATAGAACACAAAAGAGAGAATATCCAGAACAAGGAACTGCACTGGACAAACTTCCTGAAAGTTGGCCTTTTCTCTAATCTTTAGTGTAATCAATCTCCTAATTCAAGTCAGCTGGACATATTAAACAGTCTTAGGGCATGTAAACTTTTGTCTTTATTTATATCCCGTGACAAGGATGTACTCCCCCCTTGCAGACACATGGTCTTCTCTAAGCTATCACTTTGACGAGTAGAACTGAGCTCAAGAGGGAGAAAAACTGAACCATAATGTTGCTTATGATGGCTCTGAGCAGTCATTTCTCCTCCAGCCTACGCATACAGTGAGCTTGAAGTTACAGGCTGACTATAAACAGTTCTGTATTAGCTTAGAGATGCTGATGAATGGGGGTTGTGCTGTGACCATATGAACTGTGCGGACTAGAATTTTTATAGCCTGGTGTTTGACGCATGTTTTATCTGTGAGGTGGGAGCTGGGATTTCTGCTGAGGCCAAAGAGTCACACTGCTATCTCCCTGCTCTCCTCTGTGTCCTTTGCCTTTGAGGCTGCCGACAATCCCCATGGAAGGTGCATGTGCTTTTTTGTTCCAGTGGTGTTGTTCTGTTGCTGACCCTCACCACTGACCTTCCTGTGTTGGTTCAAAAGAAGCAAGAGAATCTCTATCACAAACATTTACTATGCTTACTGTAGCAGTTTTCCATCACTATATTATTGACAAAATAATTTGAAACATTGGGGTAATTACTTTAAACAAGTTACACCAATTTACACAAGAAAGTATAAAGTTTTGTAACATTTACATTCCATTTTACACTCCAGATGTGGGTTATTGCGTAACACAAACCTGAGAGAAAGTGATTTTTACAGCAGAACCAAAACAAATACTTTCATTGTTTCTGGTAAATGATAGAGGAAGTGAAACATCAGTGGAAAAAAAATGTGAATGTTTACAGAAATTACATGTTTATTGTCATCAGGAAGAGAAAATCATTTGAGCCATGCAGCTGTGGAGAAGTGATCTTAGTGACAACAGGAAATCATATGAGATGCAATGAAAAATGTAGTTTAGTTTTTTTTAAGTGCGAGTGAAACCACAGAAGCTCGCATGTATTTCAGCTAATATCCAAGTTTTGCATCAGTTATGCCTGTATATTACAATGAATGTGACTGACATATCTTTAAGTTAACTAAAATTACGAGAGGGAGTTGTTTGTAGAGACAAAGAGGCCCTTGAGCCTAAACATGAATGAAGTTAATGGAAAATGTTTTGTCAAACACAGCTTATCAGACTCCTCCATAGTTTCGGGCCATCAGCCACGGTGGAGATGATCACTTTATCAGAGGTATTTTCCATTCTGACGATTATGTGTCATCACATGCCACCCACCAACTGCAGGGTCTCTGTGAGTGGGATGACTGCATCTGCTCGTCATTGGTTGGCCAGTAACATGAGACCTTTTATCAACCAGACTCATCACACTGGTTAAATTTAGTCTTACTTCAGTAACAAATCTGAATAACATGATTTTTTGTCCTGATATAATGTTTTAGATCTAAAATGTAATTAGCTAAATTTCATTTGTACTTTCCTACTGTTTGTCCCGCATGTAGTTACTTGGAGGATCTTCTGCACCCGTCATGTTTCTCCTGACTTTTGTAAATGTTCTGCATGTCTAAAACGTGTTTCGACTAATCTGCCGTCCAGTTTAACAGCAGTTGTTTTGGGGACACAGTGTCGGGAACACTATGCAGTATGATTCTGCTGTGCTAATTCCTCTCTCAGCCTCGTCTGCCCTTGATGTCCCAAAATACACAAAGAATAAATGTACAAGCACAATCACACACACACACACACACACACCCACACTCACTCACTCACCCACACCAACACACATCAGGCTTCATGGATCCCCAAAGGACACGAAGCACATTCTATGATTTCTGGGGCTGTTCTCCCGTGTCCATGTTCATTTATAGCTGCTCTTCATTGTGGAGGAGTTTCAATGTGTCCCAGCAGACAGTTAGGGTGGGGAGTGACTTAACATCCACTTAAAGCAGTTATTCTGTCAGATGAAGCTGTTTGCTGTACATAGCTGGCTGTGAATCTGAAAGGATCGGGTGACTGTTTCAGATCATGGCATGACTGCCGCTACTGCTGTTCTCTAATCCCTTCCCTCCCCTGGCTCTACCCATTGTCTTCTCTTTTGGCCTTTCATAGTATCTCAGCTGTGCTGGACACCATGCTGTCAAATATAAACTGTATTTTGCCTCTTGCATTGCATTTTCCAAACCAGCTTTTATAGTTTCTTTCTCATAGCAGCTAGAATCTCTATCACTGTTCAAAATATGCCCACTTCTCTTTAGTCAATATATTTATATTCAAAAAGCACCAGATAACTACATACATGTGAAAGGAGTTGCTTGTAATGACGAGCTGACAACTCTGCTGAGTGTTTCAGTGTCTTTCAACGTCTTGTTTCTGTGTCCAAACTCACTTTAGGCTGCGGTTTTTAGCCAGAAAACCTCTAAAAGCCAACTGTACACTGCCTGTGCTGCACAAAATGTTTGACAAATTTAGCAACACACCAGCAAACATAATTGAGCAACAGCTTTAAAGTCAGAAATTTGTCTTGTGTATTGGCAGAGACCAAACCAGAGCTAAATAGAGTATAAATATTGGATTTACATTTATTAAATGGTCACAGGTCTCCGATTAAATGGTAATGTGGCTCCACATCTGCTGGGAGCTGGTTGTGTAAACAGCCATGTGTTTGTATGAATCTAAAAGGTGGTAAATGCTTACAACTTTTTTTTACCTTGTTAACATGTCTATGTGGTGTTTTTTATATGCTGGAAGACACATCATGAGTAAAATAAACAGTCACTGCTGTGGCTGAGCATTTCCATCTTGAAACCTAAGTGTTTAATATGTAACAAATTGTCTTAAAATGAATCAAATGCTCTTTTAATTCAAACGTAATGTTAAATTCTGTTTCTTTGTTCTCCAAAGCTGAAACGTTTGCTGGTGAAACTGCGCAGCAAGGGAACAGTGTACAAGAAGAAACGTCAAGAAATTGCTGAGCTGAAAGCAGAATATGGAGTCCTGCAGCGGACAGAGGAGATTCTCAGGCAGAGACACGAGACTGTGCAACAGAAACTGGTAACTTATCAAACTTCTGTTTTAATATTTAATCTAAACTGAACTCACAGATGACTACAGCACGAGCAATATCAGTGTTTTCTTTTTTTCTTTCTTTTGTCATTGCCAGTTGACTTTTTACTACCGCGTCGCCTTGCCATTATTTGCTTGATGAGTGGAATTCAATAAGCTGTAAAGGAGCTCTAGGGTAGTGTTCTTTCAGGGATCCTCTGTACTCATCATTTTAAATGTTGCCATGTTGCTACCTGGACCGCCAATTGCCCTTACTGCCCTCTTTGCCCTGAAGTATTCTAGCTATATCCGCTCCAGTCCTCTCTCTGAGCTGATGCTGCCCTTCCAAATGTGCAGTTTTCACTTGATCTCCCCATTCACGCAGTTTGTGTTAACAGTGAAGCGGTAGAAGCTTCCTGGAAATGGCTTCACACCTCTGTGCGGTCTCAGCACCTGACTTGTTGATAGGCTGTCTGACGCAGGCTGAGCTGCTATTTCTGATATGTGCATCTGCTGCTCCTACTCTGTCTGCATCCCACGTTAACGCATTTGAAGGTTTCTTTCTGATCACATGTCTACCAGGCAGTGTGTCCTCTTTTTGCATATATGAGCCTGATTTTTCCAGTTGGATACATCTTTTTCCTTGGGACAGTGTAAAATAACAGTTGTCTTTGAAGTGAAATCTGCTGTTCTCCCCATAGTTTGAACTATATTGTAAAATTTTCAACATTTGCAGTTTAAACAGCTTTTAGAGAGTTTTCATACTCCAGCAACATGTGCAGCAAAATATTATTCCAGGTGTTGAAGAAATTTTACCCATGGTCCTCATGCGAAGTTTGCTGTAGTGGGTGTTTATTAGTATTTGGTGTACGGTGGGCTCACCAACACAGAGCATGAGTCTGTGAAGGTAAACCGACCCAGAACAATATTCAATGACAGGAGGTAAGAGAACAATGAACAAAAGATGGTGGAATCAGGGGTCTGGTGACCAACCTATGTAGTTGTTAATCAATGACAGGAGGTAAGAGAACACATGACAAAAGGTGATGGAATCAAAGGGTCTGGTGACCATCAAAAGAAAAGAGAATGTCTTTCTTCATCACAGGGAATGCTTCAATTATGACTATTTATCAATAGTCATGTACATCTGAGATGTCTCTGTATTGATTTATTCCAAGTGCACAAGCATACTGAGAATAATTTTAGGTGTTCCTTCTTTTGAGGACATTTTTGACCGTCTGTGTTGTGTTTTTAAAGCAAACTGTGGAAGCTGAGAAGGGCATCTCTGGCTACAGTAACACTCAGGAGGAACTGGAGAGAGTGTCGGCCATCAAGAGCGAGCTGGATGAGAAAAAAGGCCGCACTCTGGATGACATGTCTGAAATGGTAAGTATACCGAGGGGCCTTGGGGCGAATTCACACAAGAACAAGTATTATTTTGTACTCATTTGGCTGGCATTGTGGGCATCATAGTTACTTTAAATGAATGGTTCTAATAAATCATTTAGCAGTTTAGTGAGAAAGCGTATTAGCAGCACCGAGAATTCAATGATGACATTAGAAATTAGATTTTGTCTCTTTGAAAAAAACATTTTTACAAATATGGCTTTAACAGTTGCCATGTGATTAGCGATTAAAACTCCAGTGAAATGGCAGTTTTGATTTTAGTTAATATAGTTATAGGCTGTAGTGAGTCAGTGAACTGTCTAAAAGCCACTACATAGTTGTGGTGATACTGCACTGCCTATGTACTTGTACTTTCACTAAGTTTGGCTAAATAGAGCTTCCCTTAGTAACTGTATAGGTCTCTGTTTGATTAGCATCATCTTAATCTATTAGTGGTACTTAAAGCCTTGTCGTTGCTGGAGGCCTGTTCACAGGGGACACTTTGATATGACACGTCAGCGAAAGCACTGGTATTACATAAGCAGACTGAATTCCATTTAGCTGCTTCACTATTTTGATACTGTACGTGTTGGCATACTGTCAAACCTTTTCATTAAACACATTTTGACTTTTAGTTATTAATTTCATTATGGCTTTATTCCATTAAGTGTCCCAGTAAGCCATGTCAGTGGACCAGCATTCACAAAAACAGGATCCCTCCTATGTGCAATGCAGACTCTGCAGCTGTAAAAAAAAAAAAAAGGTTGTGGTTGATTGGTCAAAGAATCCAGCTGCTCTTACACTGGGCTATCTAAGTATTGGTTGTCACATTGAGAATGGTTTTTCATGCTTTCCCTACTGTCCACTGTGTTTATTAACATGAAACCCAATCATTTTGGCTGGACTGTATGAAAATAATTATCAAATTTACACAAGATAGACATAGTGTTTGTTTTCCTGAAGGGCCAGAAAGTGCACCAGAAGGAATTGTGGGGATGCATTATCTCCTTTCCTTTTGCAAGGGATGGTCCAGTGTATCCTATGCTGAAGGAGATAAGAAAAGAGGCACTGAAGCACCTTTCCTTGGTGTTTAGAGAATCTGACCAGCTCTTATCATGGCTGCCACTTACTTGCAGGTTATTTCACTCAGTGTGGAACCTTTTGGAGCAAAAAGGCTATAAGACCATGACTACAACCTATTCAACCACAACTTAGCTCACAGCTTCCACCTTATTTATCACCCTATCCTCCTTTTGTCAAGACCCAAAGGAAAACAGTTGACTCAGGCATGCTCTAAGCTATCGTGAGTTTGTTGATCAGTTTGGCAGGCTGGACATTTGGCAAACTGCCTAGTGATGGCGTCAAACATCACTGGATCCAACCTGAAAGTACACAGTTATACTGGAACTTGGAAACTGCATTGCAATGCCTTAACGCTAAAACCTGTAATATTTTAATCAATACTTAATTGTGTGTTATTTACCCTGGCTGCAGCCGCTCTCCGTACTCTGCAGAGAATTGTTGATCAGATTTGTCAGCTTGCACCTGTCTGGTTGATAATGTTGCCTAACTTCATCATCTCAATAAACCATTAGTCTCTGTCACATTACCTGCTGTTTCTGCTGAAGATTCAGACTGTATATGAAGTTGCAATTTTCAGTTTTAAATATAGTTTCCTGTCAGTTTACATTGTGATTACTGTAAGATTTGTTTTCAGTTTTAAAGCAATGTATGCTGTTGGCTTGGTTTTACAGGTGAAGAAGTTAAACTCAATGATAGTGGAGAAGAAGTCGGCTTTAGCACCAATTATAAAAGAACTGAGATCACTGAGACAGCGGTGTCAGGTGAGCATTGACCGCATTAACACCTCTACTTCAAATAATCCTCACACCGCATAAATTGCAATTATTTATGTTCTTCTCTTATCTAAAAACATCAAAATCTGCACCAAGTTAAACAACAAAAACAACCTGGTAGTTACCATAGTCACAGTTTTGAGCAATGGAATACTTATGAATATACTAATCTATGTGTATACACATCTATACATGTTCATACACACATAGCTTACCAAGTAGTATCTCAATACAGAATACTTGACCATATAAATGTAGTTACCCTTTACACTCATTCTGATATCACATTACACAAAAATACTAACAAAAAAAGAAAAAAAATGCACCTTCACACACAGATATTTGATTATTTCAAATCAAATTTTGTGTGTCTTGGAAGTAAATTCCATTCATACATAGCTTGGTTCACAACTATTCATTTGAGTTTGTTGTTTTTGTTGATGTAAATTTACCCCTGAAAGTACACAGTTATGCTGGAAGCTGAAAATTGCATTGCAAAGCCATAAAACCAAAATCTGTAATATAATAACAAATACTTACTGATGTGTTATTTAAACACATCAGTAAGTTTCCCTGAAAATACTCTACTTCGTCTGTCTATTTTTGGGTCTGTTTATTTTACAAAATAAACAGTTTTTGTGAAAGAGATATTTCTGAAAAATACGAGTAATGAATAGATTAAATTCTGTATCTGTCTTAAATGTAAAAACAAATGTTCCATGCGAACAACTAGGACTTAACTTGTATTATGTGTTATCATTGACAAGGTCTATTAAGGATAATTTACATAGTCTATAAATAAAATGCACGATGGGAAAGCCCCCCCACATCTCTGAACTAGAGCGGAGGATTAAATTTTCCTACACGTGTTCCCAGAATCGCTCGTCCATCTAACTGGGTAATGTCTGCTAATGAAGATCTGCAACAGGAAGACATAAATAGACTTTGTAAGAGCCTGATTGAAAGTTAAACTGCTTAAATGCCAGCTGTGACCTTACGTTGACATGAAATGGTGTTGTAAGTGCGACAAGAGTTTTGGAAATCTTGTATTTCGTGTGTTTGTCTCAATTCTCATGCTGCATACTGTACAGTAATGGATTTGTCTGTCTGTTCTTTGCATGATACTTCATCATACCAGGAACTAAGTCAAGAGTACGAGGAAAAGAAGGTGCAATATGAAAGTTGTGCTGCTGGTTTGGAGAGCAACAGATCTAAACTGGAGCAGGTACAGTAATTTTTCTGCATTAGATTTAATATCAACAAGAATTTAGATGTACCGATAGGTGGCAAAGTAAAGGAAAAACCTGAGGCCATGACCCCTACAGTGAGGGGATGTTTTGTTGTGCGATTGCGGAGGCGTTTTCTGGCATTGGTTTGGGTCTAATCAGGACGAAGCGTTACTGTAAATCTATGCAACTTTCTATAATGATTTGATTGGTATGGACATGGTTTGAATTGTGAACTGTAGCCCTCATATTCACTAGATCTCAACCCATCTGAACAACTATGGGAGATTTTAGAATGAAGTATCACAGTTCTTTCCACCACCACCATCGTCTAAGCATCGAATGAGGGAAGATGGTTTGTGACAGTGGTCTTCATCCTTCCAGTAGAGATCCACATACTTTCGACTTGAAGTTGTTCTGGAGGTGCTTGGTGGCCCAACATCTCACTATCAAACTCCATGCCGTTTTTTCCTTCAAGTTCTCACCCATCTATATTTTTACATGTATATCTGGTGTTTTTTTGTATATGTTATGTCATTGCTACGGTAACATAATGTGTCCCTGTTCTCATTTTTCCCTCACAGGAGGTGAAAGCATTGAGGGAGGAGACGGCACAGAAGGAAAACCGATACCACTATATCAACTCCATGTCAGAGGCAAGTCTTTCATAAAGTGCAGCTGCTTAAAATAGAAGGAAAAAAAAGTGTCCGTTACCCTTTGATTATTATTAAAGAAAGAACACTTTTGAAGCACTACAAGCTGCCTCCCTCTGTCAGGTGGTCATGAGATCCACTGATCAGATAACAACCATCACTGTTCAACCTCAAGCCAATACTGCTTTCCAACCACTAATAAGAATAAACCAAATTATTAACTGCCAAAAGATGTTTATCTGGAATACATCAGACGAATCAAATGAAGTTCAAACTAAAAGTCACTGCTATTTGGCCTTAAACCATGAATATAAATTAGAAGATTATCTTTTACAAGGCAGAGACAGATGGTGGCCAAATGCAGACTCTGTGACTGTAGTTGAGCGACAGAGAAAAGATGAAACAAAAAGTCGTGGCTACAGAGGAAGCAGGAGTGGTTAGTCAATACATGTCAGGTGAGGTAGAGACAGAGATACACTTCCTTTTAGATGTGACAATATATACAATAATATTAGAGTGCAATGCTCCAAGAACGTTGATTAGTTAACTCCAAACCTCATAGATCTAGATGGCAGCAAAAAGCAACACATTCCAGGGGACACGCAGCTGTACGAACTGATAGACACATAATTAAATCAATAAATAATTGTCTTGATCTGACCTATTATACATATGAAACAGACATGCGGGCGAAACATGTGCTTGCTGTTGTTGTTGTTCTTTTTATCTACTTATTTCATTTTACTTAATGGGTTACTTAACTTTATTTTATTTTCTCATCTTATTTTTGAATTCTGCCATCCTTGATGCTTTGGCAATGTTGTTCACTTGACATTCACAATAAGGGCACGCTGACCTAAAAAAGAAATCGAAACATTTCAGCTGTTAACCACAGTGGGTTTAGTACTCATTTTTATCGTTTTTTTTTCAAGCCAAATTAAATAAAATTAGAAGTTATACTTTGAACTCAAAACAGTAACTTGCTCCCCACAGGGGTGTTTGCAGGAGTGAATAAAATGTCACCGCATTTTGCAAGTGACCTGCCCCCACAAATGCCTGCTGTGAGAATAAACTCGATCTCTGCATCTCTGTCCTCTGCAGATCATTGAGATGCAAATGCAGCGGGCGGCTGAGGAGATGAAGGCCTACGTGTCCTCTGATCCACAAGAAAGGAAGAAGGCCATCAGGTGAGCCTGCTGCGCCAGGCCAGCCAGCTGCTCACAAGATGAATGCCCTTTTTACCTCAGGAAGCTCCTGTTACAGCAGCGTCAGTTAATCGGCTGCCACTTTATTCTTTCATACAGCGCAGAGTTGTCAGAAACTCGTTACCACACCTCATGGAGTCAACATATGCTGATACACCACACCTTTATTTAAAAACACTGGGTGAGATCAACATGAGAAATGGCTGTGACTTGTATTTTTCTGCTTCTTTGTAGGGAAGTGTACATGAAGAACATTTCAGAACAGGAGTTACTCGGCAAGGTGAGAGAAGTGTGTCCAAGTGCTGAACTAGCAGATGCAATGGGTCAATACTTGGAAATTTTCCTTTAGTCTGTCAAGAACATGGTCTGAAGACAGACAGGTTAGCCAATGGAATTTACTGGAAGCTTACATAACTACAGCCATGAAGAGTGAGTAAAAGGTATTGACTAGACTCATTTTGCATAGACCTGGTATTTATAGATTTTTTTTTAACATACTTCTTCTAAATTGCAAACCAATAAGATAGATTCATAACAAAGCAGCTTCCAAGTAAATCCTGCTTTGACAGGACAAGCAAGAACACATTTAAATGTAAAAAACAAAAATGTAAAAAGCATGAGCAAGTTGATCAAAGAGTGTGGTAAATAATTCAAACATCTAGGTAACAGGCTCCGGCAGATTTCTCCCTTTCTGTCCATCCATTACCCACACCATCTTTATCCTGTGGAGGGTCGCAGGAGGCTGGAGCCTATCACAACTGACATTGGGTAAAAGGTGGGATACATCCTGTACAAGTCACAGGTTCATCACAGGGCTAGTCTGACTTACCAGATGGAGACTACGAGTATAAGCGTACAATTGGCTGTGCTTTTCTTTTACCTTCCCCTTCCACTAAGCGTTACCATTTTCAAAACCCCTTCAACCACACCTTTAAGGAGCAACTAACAACACTACAAAATTCATGAAGGTCTGAATTGTGCAGTAAAGCAGCCCTGCTGTTTTTCAGTGAATTAGCCATTTTAATGATAGTGCTCGCCTCCCTGCATGCAAGTGTTCCACTATAACAATTCCCCTGGCACTATTTTGAGGGGACATCATTGTTTAGCACCACCCAAGATAATTATGATTGGTTTAAAGAAATACAGATAAGGCAGAGGAGCATAATGATTAAGAGGTGTCTCCAGTGCTGACACAGTGTTGTGTAAAATGCTCTGACTATGTGAAATAAGGCTAACACCAAAAAACAGGAAACCATGCATGCTTACACCTATCGCCAATTTGTATAAAGTCAGTAATTGACCTAACACGCATATCTGTGGCCTGTAGAAAGAAGCGCAAACACCCAAAAAAACCCCACAGAGAAACAGGTCAGACATGCAAACTCCAGACTGAAAAACCCCAGTAACAGGTCTGATTGAATCAAATCCAATCAAGTTTATTGTCATTTTGCTGTACATACACAGCAGTACAGGCAAGATGAGAGAGCGTTTCTTCAGGATAATTCAACCAGCAAGTTTTTTTGGGACGCACGTCTGGGCTAAGACACTAAACGTTCACTGTCGCTGCCTCCTGAAGGGGTCACTGTGTCCATGTGTGCCGCTATTCGTTGAACATGGCGAACCTCTTCAGGTCCTGGTAGGTCTTCAGGGACACAAAGACACACAAGATGGTTTGACGATGGTGAAGCCGCACATGCTGCCCAGAGCTAGCTGTCTGTCTGTCCGCCCAGAATAATGTGGTCCCCTCCAGCTGTATGTCCGTCTGGGATGTTGTCATTGAGCCATGTTTCTGTTAAAGCAAATCACAGCTGCCATCACAATACTAGTAATATATATTTTCACTAATAATAGTGACAATACTCAGGTTTCTCCCTGATGATTGTTTGCCTTTTGTCGGACATGTATGATATTTTAACAGATCGACTATGTGTTGTGTGTTTTTTTCCCCCTCATCACTCTTTTCCTTTGTGGACTGCAGAAGTTACGTGAGGAGCAGAAGATGGTGAGGGAGAGCCACAGTGCCAACATGGACCAGATGAAGATGTGGCGTGACCTGGAGCAGCTGATGGAGTGCAAGAGGCAATGCTTTATAAAGGCTCAGAGCCAAGTGTCTATTGGGCAGGTCATCCAGGAGGGAGGGGAGGACAGGCTGGTGCTGTGAGGACACAATCAACAGCTGGTTTCCCACTCTACATTCACTACACCAAGTTAAACCAAATGTTCCACATCTTCCTGTCACGGGTCTAAATCTTTTTATTTACATTGTATGTAAAGTGTTACTAGGCACTACATAGAGTTCCTGTCATTGTTCATGGGTTTTATCTTTCCCTCCATCTTTTCTGTTACTCAGTTGTCGGTAGTTTACGTTGTGCAGAACCAGACCACTAATCTCTGGTGATGACACACTTTAAGATGCTTTGTGAATACAGAACTTAAAGAACACAGGACAAGGGTTTCCTCTTTCTCTGACTCCTGGGAGACTCTTTTGTGACATATCTTTAAGAATACACTTTCAATCAAAGTGTCCAAAGATAACAGTGTACAAAGTGGTGCACTTTGGGATGTGGCAGCAGTCAACTATTTTTGGTATCTCCAGTCACAACCTTGAAAAGGGATTGGGATTCCAATTTTGGAATTCACTGGGACCTCCACTGCTTTGGACAGTGAAGATAAAATGATCATCTTTTTCTGCTTGTTAAATCTGTTTAACCTTTGACATTTCAGATGTTTATCTTTACATATTTGGATTATCTAAACAGTTTTATTAAATATATTTCATGTTCATTTCGACTCCTGTTTCATTGTATTAGTGATCTTAAATGGAAAGACAATATCCATAAATTCCCAATTATGATAAAGATGTATTCACAAATTGCTTTTGTAAATGACACATACCTGCTGGACTCCACAAAATATAACTTATCTATAGAAATCAAGTGACAGATATGATGTTGATTGGCCGTCTTTGCTTTATTTAACTGGACTTCTGTGAAAAATGATGTAGCATTTACGTACAACATTCAGCCACTACATTAAACCACTTACCTAATGTTGTGCCGGTCCCACTAGTGCTGCCAAAACAGCTCTGACCAGCCAAGCCATAGATGCTGATGCTCTGGGTCCTGTGGGTTGTGGGTCAGGGTTATCTGTGTTTTGAGCTTCTGGTGCATCTTCATGTTCCTCGAGCTGTTCCTGAGTGGTTTTTTGCAGTGTTGCAGAGCACACTGACCTGGTGAGGGAGGTTGCTGCTGTCAGGGAATGGAGTTGCTATGGGGGTGTGTTTTGTATGGAGCAATGTTTAGGTGGGTGGTATGTGCCAGAGTAACGTCCATATGCAAGAAAGGACCCAGGATTTCCCAGCAGAACATTAACACTAACATTATAATCATTCCAACTCTCAGCAGTTTTAATGCTGTGGCTGATCGGTGTATATTATTATTTAAAACACTTCTAATGCATGAAGCGATTTAATTTTCCAACTTCTCTGCTTTCATTAATTATTTACCCATAAATCAATCTTAAACCTATTTGGGGTAGAATAAAATTTGATTACTTCTCTATCAAGTGACACTTCAGTCCACACAGGCTCTGTTTTGAGTGCCTCACGTTGTTCCCAACAAATGTCTTCGTGGATGTTTCAGGACCAAACCCTCCCTTCCACAGAAACTTAATCTGCTGTTGACAACCAATGTTAGTGGCTCTTGTGCCAAACGGATCAAGTGTGCATTGTAAAAGGCAGCTTGATGTCCAACAGGGCTGTGCCATGTTGTTATTGTCACAGCACCTTGTGGGCTTCTTGGGGCCTTATTAAGACATGCTAACAGATGATGCACGCCAGTCCTGTAAAACATCTGACAGTGATACCCTGTAAAGAACACCATGAACGCTGAAGGATTAACCTTTTGCCCTCACAACTTTACAGTAAATTGGCCTCACTACCATTATTTTGCAGATGTGTTTCATAAGTGATTTTGATTTCATATTTAGCAGGGTTTTTCTTGCATAAAGGAATTTTTGTGCCCCAAAAGACGTTTATTTTAGCCAGCACCAGAGAAAACTCACCAGCACTTCAATCACAGTAAGTGAGAATAAAAAAAATATACATGTACATTTGTTTATTTGTTTCTTTTTTTTTTTTTGATTTAGTCAAGCATGCCTGACATTTTTGTTTATCAGATAGTCAAAAATAACTGGGAAATACATGATTTCTATCAAATAAGGTAGCACAGACTCATTGATTTTGCTGTACGTGGAAGGATCACAAATAGTCACCCCCAAAGTTTTATTCTGAGCCTGGAAAAGTTTGATTTAGGCTGACTTTATTTAGCAGATCTGGCAAAAAAAGACAGTATCTTGAGTGTTTTTTTCTATCTTGTCATGCTGCTATGTTTTTGCTCCTGGCTGCTGTAAATTTGTTGTGTAACTATCTGAGAATAATCTGTTACCCATCTTTCTGTTCTGTACTCTGATCATGAGCTTATTCCTGTAAGAGAATCAGAGGGGCTACTGGTCAAGTGTAAGTGAGGCAGTGAAACACTGAAAAAGCAAGAGGCTTTAGTAATGTGACACCTGTAGTCTGAACTCTGAGCACAATGTATGGAGTTGTCATAATATATCATCAGTCTGAATATGCACATTTATCCTGTGCAGTGCTCTGTTTATTAAGTTTGCAACACCAGCATCGCAAAAATGTTTCTCTGTGAGAAAGCTTGGTTTTCTTGCAACTTTGATGAAACCCTGCGTGGGACATCCTTGAAACTAAGGGAGCCTAAGCTATGTGATACGTGGTTTTTAATAAAAACCTATTATGTGGTGGGAGCATGGGTGAAAATTTCAGGTGTACGTGTGGTTGAAACTTCCCCCTCAATATGTAGAACACAGATATTTATCTCTTCCAATAAAAACATAAAAGAAACAAAGGACTTTGATTTTTTTTTTAAAAAACAAGCATTATTTACTCCTAGATGCAACAATACTTTGAACAGAGCGGCTCTTTTTTCTACAGATTAGCGATCACAGATATGTTCTGCATGTGCAGAAATGTTTAAGCAGTCATGAGCAGAAATCTTGCTGGAAACAATGAGTGTATATAAAAGTAGAGTAATGGTAGCCACACCCTCAAATAAAACCTGCTTTATCGTCTGTTTGACTCAAAATGGGACCATCATTTTAAAAATAAACATCTTGTTGTATTGAAGGAGACTTGAAACTAGCAAATGAGACCACAAACTCATCAAGAAAAAGTTTTCTGAGGTAACAAATAACGTGAGAAGTAGGGTCATTTTTTTCAATGATGTCTATACAGTAGGACTGCAGGAGTCGCCCCCTGCAGGCTGTTAGAAAGAATTAGGCCACGTCCATCTCTTATAAGCAGTACATGACTGAAACACACCTGACTTATCAAAGAGTTTATGGATTACTTGAACTGAATAAATTCATCATTGATATGAAGAGTGGCAACATGCACGTTTAAACAGATTACTTCCCCAAACAAAAGAGGACAGAAGAGTAAATTAGGCCTACAATGTATATATGTGTTGACTCAGGACAAATAGTATAAAATAAAAAAGTTGATCTACAGGAGAATAAATGTTTAAAAGCAATACAGAATGTCTGACAGTCTTACTGCATTATAAATATGATATTTTGAATTTCTTTATGTTTTCCTTTACATAAATAAAGACATTTCCACCATATATAGGTACAGGAAACAGACAGAGCCAGACGTTTTTTTCATGGAGGTGGCCAGCCTGAGACTATTAGTCACACTAGAGTGGCACTGAAACTGATATTTCTTTTTTTTCTTTTTTTACTTGTTTATTTCCTCTAAGTGACATATTACTGCAGGCCAAATAGTCATTTTTGGGTCCCTTTAATCATTTGCTTACGCAGGTATTAATGCCAATATACAAAAAGGCCTCATATATAGAATAAATTCTTTTATGTAACTCTCAACTAAATTTTTTAAAAATGCAATGTTCCAAATTATGCATTGATAGCTGTATATTTTACAGTTGAAGTTACACTACGGTTAGGACATAATTTTAGTTCTATGAGGATGTGTGTAGCCCTTTGGTGGACATCACTGTTGGTTGTGTGTTTTGGCCATGGCTTCACCAGGCCATCTTGTGGCTCCACTCTGGGCAGAAAAGGCACATATTGGTGCATGAGAATTCACCAGAATGCAAGAGATGATGTGTTTGACACTCAGAACTCACTGGAGGAGGACATACAAACCACTAGTGTACCCCCACCCCCCACCCCAATGTTTAAACTAAATCTACTCTCATGGATGGGAGCAAAAATAATAGTAACACCACACTCACTATTTCCCAACACAAATAGTCACATAAAGCCAGTTGTGCTCAAGAGGACATTAATGTGGAAATTTTGCAGAAAGTAAATCCACAAAGAGCAAGAATCCATCAAGAGTTATTTATTACAATAAACAACATGTGCATACAGGACTGGTGCCTGCCAAAGACAAGAACCAAAGGTTTACAGCTTGATAGGTGAGTTTGTCTCCTAGCAGAGGGAAGGCGGTGGAGGTCAGTGTCTCTAGATGGCACACTAACAGGGCACTCCAAGGCCTCCCTAGGAACAGGTCTGTGGCCCTTGCAGGAGGCAAGATGAGGCCTCCAAAGCATCACAGTAAAGCTGATACCAGGTGGATGAGCGACAAACCTTCACATTGGAGAGCACACAGTTAAAATGTGACTTATAAAACATACTATCATACCCATTGCCCCCCCCCAACATTAATGCAAAGTGCTCCTGTCTCTCATGCAGGGGTCTGGGGGTCTGCCTGGGGTCTGCCTCTGAGCTACCCCTCTCATTTCCGGCTTCCTGTGTTTTTCACGGCTCTCTGGTCTGAACGCAGCTGACAGCGTTCGTCCAATGATGTGAGTCCACATGCAGCGCAGGAAGAGGGGCAGCAGAGAGGCGCTGATAAACCAGACTGTCAGCAGCGAGCACCGCCACTCGGAGCTGCACCACGGCAAGACACGGTAAGGCACGGCACGGTACGGTACGGTAGCACACGGGAGCAGCGGACCGGTGAATGCGGTCCTCAACACGGGACACTGTCGCAGACACCATTTTCGGAGGTAACCGGACCCTCAGACTGAGCTCCATCCCTGGGAGAAGAGGACTCAGGCTCGCCGCAGCACATTTCCCGTCATTCCCGTGAAGAAAAAGCCTTGAGGGGGACTCGGCGGCCGGTAGCTGTCGGTAGCCGTCCGGGTGTGAATCCACCGCTGTCAGTTATCAAACTCCTCGCTCCGTCCGAAGTCCCGACAGCCCCAGAGAGCCTGCCGGCCGGTGCAGCAGTGTTTCGGAGAAGCTGAGCGGGAAGCAGCCGTGTGTCCGCCATGGAGAACGCTCACACCAAGAGTGTGGAAGAAGTTTACAGTTATTTCTGCGTCAATGAGAGCACAGGACTTTCTCTGGACGAGGTGAAGCGACAGCGGGAGAAATGGGGCCTAAACGGTACGACTCTTTAGACCACAGACACCCACAAACACCTGCTGACACACACCGGCTAGCGCGGCGCGTCACCGGGTAGCTCGGGGCGGCTGTAGGGGCTGGAGGTCAGCACCGGTCGGCCGGTGGTACCGGTGCTGTGCCTCAAAGTGGTCCGGTTTATACAGCTGCTTATTTCTTGGTCAAACAGTCATAACATGCAAATACACCCAACTTTATATCCGCGTTGATAGCAGCTGTTGGTCTGAGGAAATGTCATGTTTCTACTAATATGTTAATTATGAGCAAAGACATAATACAGTGTAGTCATTTATGATGGCATTTATAATTACAGAAGTGTTTCTGATGTTTAGGCTCTGTGTCTAATGTCCTTTGATTATATGTGGAAACTGGACTGTAATTAATACCATTCACAGATATTTAAAATATAGAAATTGTCTTCTGCAATTATCTCATGGGCTATTATTACAATATAATATATGATATATAACCCTCTAAATAATATATAACCCTCTAGGATAAAATAAAGTCATTTTGATTGCATTTTTGTCACAATGTAGTGGCTGCAATCACTTTTTGGCAGGTGGAAAACTGCATTATATGAGTTAAACTGGTTCTTTAAAGCTATTGTAACTGGTTAAAGCAGCTGTGTTGGTTTAAATGTGTGATGCAGCAACAGGAGGATGATTGCTCACACAGACGTCAATCACATTTTGGCAGATAATCACTTTTAGGGACAACTCTGGCTTCATAAAGGGATTAGACTGACGTCATCCCGGTGACCTCCAGGGTTTCCCATCTCTTCCACACGAACTCATTAATCATTACTTAGGCCCTTGGTATGTGTGGTAACGTTGCTGAACATTGTGTCAGGGTTGTCATGGTAAAACGGAGTCAAACAAACCTCATGGTGACACTGTTGACAGAAGCTGTAAATTGTGGAGACGTTTTAGATCATTGCATCATTGTTGGATGTTTTTACGGCTAAATCGTGAAGTTGCAGGATGTGAAACCAAAACAATGTGGTTAAACAAGACTAAAACGCCCCAAAGAGCTGTGAACAACTGCAGAGTCTGGCAGTCATTCAGAGCATAGGTCACATAGAAATGTTCATTAGTACAGCTTTAATTTCATCAAGTAGTGCAGATTTAATTTACCGAGATTTGTGTCAAATCAAGCCAAGTCAGGTCACTGTTTTTTTATATGGCTCATTTAAAACAACAGTTATAAAGCCAAAGTGCTGTCTAGAAGAAAAATCTGATTGGCATTGCAAATTGAACTAACAAGTTTAGCCCTATTCAGGACTTTTGGGGTCTTTTAGACCCCAGACCATTAGGTTTAGGTAACAGGTATTGTTTTTTTTATTTTTAAAGATTTTTTTAAAAGATAAAAACAGGGATATTTGTCATGCATTTGGAACCAAAAATATGTCAACTTGTAAAAAAAAAATTATTTTACATAGTATAAAAGTCTATAATGAATACCAACAACTATTTTGCACCTATTCTTTCTCGGGACATTGGACCCTGAAAGACCTTCTAAGTATGGCAACATGAAAGTCCTGAATAGGGTTAAATATAAAGGTAAAGACCTTACACTGTTTATTAAAATGTAGCTTTGCCCGAGTCATTTAATTACCAAACGATATTATATAATACAACTTTCATATGTGCTGCTGAACATTGTGTCAGTGTGTAGTCATGGTTCAGTGGTGTTAAACAAACCTCGGTGTGACACTGTTGACAGTAGCTGTAAAATATGGAGATGTTGTTGAACATTGTGTCATTGTTGGAGTAACAGTAACCTTGTTGAGAAGTGCAGCACATCGGCCCATGTGCCTGGGGCTCTGGGAGGCATCTGATCCTGAACAGAGGCCACAGGATCACCAGAGTAACATTAGCTGTCAAAGATAATCTCTGTTGTCCCGGGTTTAAACAGCTGTTTTATATTAATATCACCTGGGAGGTCATGGAGGGTGATTTCCCTGAAGTCACTTTGACCTTTCCGCTGATTGGAAATGTTGTGTTTTTTCCAATACGAAACCAAGATTCAAGGATTTAATCTATATGCACCTGTTAGTGGTGTAAATGTGAACATTTGACTTAAGAAAAAGTGTTAAATGATTGGTTTAATGAGAATGATATGGCCGCTACATCGCTATAATGAGACAGAATCTCCCCATTTACATAGTATGTATGACTGGATTGTCACTGAGCAACATTTGAAGTGAAACTGAGAATGTGCTGCTGGTTCTGACATTTTCCAGAGATTTAGTGCCACCTTAGACTTACAAAATCTTCCTTATGAAGAACCACGAACTGACAGACATATCACTATCTAACCAAGTATTTATCCGTCACTTATCTTCTTTTTCCTCTCTGCCTTTTTCCTGTGTGGTCCCCGGATCGACTCCCACATCTGTGCACACACAGAGCTACCAGCAGAGGAAGGTAATCACTACTGTCACTGACGCTCTTACTGTGATTTTATTATAACAAGTTCCTGTGATGGATTGTTTTTCACCAACTCCTCTGTCTGCAGGGAAATCTTTATGGGAGCTCGTGCTTGAGCAGTTTGAAGATTTACTCGTTCGCATTCTTCTGCTGGCTGCATGTATATCATTTGTAAGTAAATCAACGTTTTAATTTTGGTTTGCTGGTACTGTTTGACATGACGCTCATCTTGTTGGGGGTTGCTGCATCCATGGAGGGATTTTCTACTGCGCAGGCTCGTGTTGTGTCATCTCGTCTTCAACTCTCTGAATGGAACTGCATTAAAATTCAGGGGTCTGTTCTAAATTCAAGTCAGCTCCTGACCTGCAGTTGAATCTCCTTCGCACTGTTACACCCCTCTTGCATGCTGTGTCTATAATTCGGAAGAGATGATGCGCTAATCCGTAAACTAAGCCCAAAAACTTAAGGAACTCTCACCCCCATCCTTCAAATAGCTTTCTATTCCCACCTCTGACTAAAAGATTGTTTACATGAAGTCAAAACTGCAGATGGGATTATTATTAAGCCCAGTGTGGTGAACGGCAGGGGACAGTTTATGCAGTGCATAGTGCTGAAGTGTGAAAGACTTCAGTTTGTATAACTCGGCTGTGGTTACACTCACATAGCAGGGAGCTAAACAGCTGAGAAGGCTAGCGACCCATCTGAGGAATGGTGACAACAGCAGTAGCAGCATTGAGTTGCTGTCACCCAGTGCCAAGTAAGACATTTGAGTTGTCAAGCTCGACTGCTGTGTAATGACTTACCGTGGTCTTGCCCGGCCCGCCGACTTTTAGTGCTACACTGATAAATGTTTGATAGTGGTCTGCTATTATGTAATGGCTTCATCAGCGTGTGTCCGAGCCTGCTTTAAATGAACATCTCCTCATAGTATAGCACTAGTTAATGGTAAAATGTTATGTAATACATGACTTCATGTACAGTTTTTTAATTTGCAATATTTGCTTCACCAAATTTAAGCAAAGAAAAAAAAACATGTTTTTGTGGAAATGTGACTGTTATAAAGGCATGGTTGGAAAATTTTTCAGTGATGGATACAAAACTGGAATTAATTTTTGGCACTGCATGAGTCACTTTTGCAGTTTTGCTGTTTCACATTGTTAGGAACAACTGCGCATTAACAGATGGTTGAAGAAGAACATTTTGATAAGTGAGGCTCCCGCTGTGTTTGTGTGTGAGCTGGTATGTGGTGTGCCGTGCCCGGTCAGGTGATACAGAGGTGTCAGTGGCTGCTGTCTGACGGGAACAGAGCACCACTCAGGACCAAATTTGGGCCCTCACCCCTCAGTGGGAGGCCTCTCTGTCGGACAGCCACCTCAATGTACATTTAATCACTCCCATATTGAATATATACCCAGTTTAGAAACAAACCATTTAGTGTCAGAAGACAGAAATAGGCTTTAAGGACCTGCTCCTGTCTTTAACATGCAGTATTTTATGAGATTAAGTGCTTTAAATGTTTGTAACCTTACTGGTCCTTAATTGATTAATTCATCAAGAGAGAAGTTATTTCCGATTGTTTCAATCAGGATTTTCTTCTTTCCTCTGTTTTAATTTTAAACAAAATATGTTTGAACTGTCAGCTGAGTTAATCGCAGGCTCTGGAAAACTTTGACAGACTTTTTTTTTTTTTTTTGCAATTTTCTGACATTTTATATTATCTGCAGCCAATTGATTATGTAATGTTACTACAATAAGTCAGTACAGAGGAGGTTGTTAGTTGCAGCTCTCATATTTTTGCTTTAGGGGAAACTGTAAATCTCTTGGTTGTGTCAGGACATACAGTAGGACACTATTAAGCGCAGTGCTTCTCTATTGACACAGCTATTAGGAGTTATGCCTGTCATTTGAGTTATGCCATTCAAAATGTCTTTGGCATCCACCACAGTCTGACTCTTAGGTCTCGCTGAGGTTGATTGCTTTATTACATTATAGGAGATTAACTAATTACTTGTGACACACCGGGTAATTTTAGGACAATTTTCTCAGGAACAGCAAGCCAAATGAGACTCCAGGTCAAGATACTGTCTTTTATTTTAACTGTCAGAGTTTCCAGTGTATGTGCAACAATGCAGAGACCAGTCCCAGTGTTGGTGATGGGATCAGTGTATCGGCTGACGTGGAACGGTTTAAATAGTTTAAGTTAATGGAGTTAACTTAAACTATTTAAAGTCCCTTCAGTATTCTTAATAGGGACATGTTTACATCATTGAATTAAATGCTTATAAAGAAGCTTCCATCCCTACACACTTCAGCTGCACTGTGCAGTTCTGGCAGTTAAAAAAAAATCAATAATTACAAATATCCACAGGAGAATATCAACAGTTTCCCACAGTGAGTAGAATAAATGCATTGCTAGTACTCCTGGAATTCAGTTAACAACCAGAGTAAAGAAAACCGATACTCTTTATGTTTCCAAAATGTAATTTGGCAACAAGATTGTGTTGCGTTAAAGGATGAAATGAGGTGTTTATGTACACTTTCTCAGTTTCATTTTTCTTCTTTCCCGCTACATTAAGGTTTATGTAAGAAATGTACAGGATGATCTTTAGTTACTAATATTCTCAAATTTAATCTAAAAATCTGACAAACAGCCCATAACACACCTAATATTAATGCTCTGAAATGCTGCAGTCAAGATCTCTTTAAATGATAACAACCTGACCAGTTAAAATAAAATGAAACCTTCTCTCTGATTTCTGTTCCTTTTTGTCATTGCAGTTTGCTGATACATGTTCTGTGAAATGTAATAATTACATATCCCCCCCACCATTGTTTTTAGGTCCTGGCCTGGTTTGAGGAGGGAGAAGAAACTATCACAGCGTTTGTGGAGCCTTTTGTAATTTTACTGATTCTTATAGCGAACGCTATCGTCGGTGTGTGGCAGGTGAGCGAACGGAACATCTTTAGAAGTCACTGTACTTAACTCCCACTGTGGCTCTCATGTATCTGTACAGTATGTCTGTAATTCATCAGGATGTAACGCAGTTTTGTTAAAGTGAATCACATTTCATTCAGAAAAAAATAGTATTTTCTTGCTTTGGTGACTTAACCAGTACAAATAGGAACTTAAAATATTAAGACTGGCATTAAACTGGCATTTACATGTGTGAAATGATTTAAAAAATCAATACATCAAGAGAAACTTACAATGGTATTGAATTCTCTCACTTGTCAGTGTGAACTCCATAATGCATTGTTGAAAATACCATCCAGCACAACAGACTTCTGATAAACATCCTACCTTATCAGTTAGATCATGGATCATTTGCAGTCTAACCCAGTGCAGTGTTGTTGAGCACATCCAAAATGTAGACATGAATTCAACAGGATCACTTCCAAGGTGAAGCTCAGAGGTGTATATTTCCATCTGAAATACAGTCACCAGTGAGAGCAGATGTGAATGATCTAGAAATTGTGCCAGATGTACTGCAGTGTAAATGTTAAAGCTAAATATGGGTGCAGAATGTAATTCAATGACAAGACTTCTGAAGAAGTACTTAATAGTTCTACATGTTTAATTAGACGAATGTATCCATGTGGCAGCCTGCTGGGAGTTTTAACGTTTGTTAGACTTCACTGGAACTGTAGCCTTAGATAATCGCTGTGTACTGAAAGTTATTTTAGTCTCAAGTTTGTCTCAAGGAAGGCTTCCTATTGAAAGGAGCAGCCTGTCAGTTTTCATCAGCAGTCTGTCTTTATGTTGCTCACATATGAGGCTGGCTTATTTATTTATTTTAAAAGTGTGTGGGCAGACCGATCTGACTGATGTTTTTCTTTCTGATGAAGATGCTGGTGAAGGATAAAACTGGAAAAGACAGAAAATAATGTGATTTATATTTTTTTTATAAAACCCCAGATATCTCCAACAACAAAAAAAAAAACCTGATGAAACAAACATCCAGCTGGAAGAGTGGGTGCCTCCTCATGGGAGAACATCCAGCTCAGTTTATGTGATTTTTATCAGTTCGCTTCAGAGCTGCTCAGAAATGTTGGCAGTGAAACTCGTGTTCTCCTCACCAGGAACGCAATGCTGAGGATGCCATTGAGGCACTTAAGGAGTATGAGCCTGAGATGGGCAAAGTGTACCGGCAGGACAGGAAAACTGTGCAGAGGATCAAAGCCAGAGACATTGTTCCTGGTGACATCGTGGAGGTTGCTGGTAGGTTTACCTGCTTCTGACCTTGTGCATGTTTACACAGACATGACTTCATTGTTTGCATTACAGGTATTTTATTTTGCTGTGATACTGTTGTTATGTTTACTTGGATAAATTTAGACATTGGTTTAATTTCCAGACTTGTCATAGCCCAACGAAATGTGTGAACATCACATCAACACGACTGGAATGAAGCTTGAAATTCACATAACACTGGGAATTAAAAGCCTCTGCAGCCTCTATCAAAGAACATATTTTCTACATGCAGCTTTTTTTGTTTTTATCTGACAATTCCTTACCTGTATTTGGCCCTGCTTAAGGGAAAGCCAACTCCGGACAGATCGTATGAGTCCAGGTATGGTCATGAATCGCATTTAGCACAAGCACAAGCTCCCCCCATCCCCAAGTGCCACTGCAGAGGTGACTCACCCACGAAGAGTGATGTATTTTGAGATGTTCCTATTAACCCATTGTCTCTAAGGGCTGCTACTAAGGCCCACTTAACTGGGTGTGTGTTTGTCCACACACACACACACACACACACACACACTGAGTTTGACATCACTCGAGTAACATGCTTAGACTTCATCCACAGTTTCTCTTCCAGTGATTCATGCCGGTGAGGTCTAGTCAGCATATTATAGCGGCTGGAATTGTCAGGATATGAAGCTTTGATGTCGTTTTTTCCGCTACGGTAAACGCACATATAGAATTCTGCAGCGGTTGTGTTGAGGAATGCTGGAGTCCTTAAAACGCTGCCGTTATCCGGATTCTCTTTGACCCCAAGCCACTTGAGTGATGCATAGTTTTTCTGTGCATAGTGGTATGTTTTATTTTTAGCTCTCATAGGCCTTTTAGATTATGGAATGCTGTATTTATAGCGGCAGTGACAGTCATGAAGATGACAGGTGTCTGGTCCCACCCCATGCTTGCCCCTCCCATCCTGCTCTGGGGAACATTGCTACAGTGGATGACGTGGGACAGCGTTCAGCAGGACTCCTGACTAACCTTGACAAGGACAAATGAAGCAGCAGTGTGCTTCATGTGATTCCACTGTTTTTCTAGTTTTCCTCATTTTCCTTGACAGTGCTTATCATGACATGTTAATTATGTGTTGCAAAAGAAGCTGAGCATGAACAGCTTAAATATTTTGCTCATGTTTAAAGAGAAGCTTGTGAGTCAGAGCATATTAGAAAGGTAGTTATTTAAAAAATGCTTGATAAAGGCAGCCCGAAGCTTTGCTGTCAGCATCTTGAAGCTTACTGAAAACGGCAGCCCAGCAGGCAGCGAATGGGACGGTTTTATCCTGCAGTCGGGAGAAGCTCATCGGCTCTACTTATTTCACAAATCCTCCAAATATCTTCTACAATGGGTCCTGTCAGGCTCCCTTTTTATGAATAATATTTTCCTGCAGCTCCAAAGTGACCCTTTGCCACGCAGAGGAGGAGTGTGATGACGCAGATGCTGGCTGGGTGGCTGCTGAGCTGAGGTAGAGGACACAGAGATGAGCCCTCTGTGGCTGCCTCAGTCGTGAGAAGAATAGCCCGCAGCCAATCTGTGCAGCTCAGTCAGGATGCTGCTGTGGGTTTGAGCGCTGCCTCCTACTCATGCCCGATCGCTCATCAACCTCAGTTGCATGCTTACTGAAATTTGTTTAATGCCATGGAAATAACATTCTATGTGATGCAGTTCTTGGACTTTAATCTAAATTAGGTTTTTGTGCTTTGTAGTTAAGTGTTTTCATCTCGAAGCAGTTGCTGATGTCCACGTCTGGGCTGGTCTTTCCTTTCAAGTCTGACTGGACAGTCTGAGCCAAATCATGCTGTGGTACATCAAAACTAAACCTTTACTTGCTCCAGAAATGATCTCACTAATGCGCAGATCAGGTATTTTGCCTGAATTGTTTAGATTAGGAGCTCATTTAATGAATATGGTTAGTAATGATGAATCAGGGATTTACTATAAATCCAGATAAGCACTATTTTTAGGATGGACAAACAGCAGCAGCCAAAATCTACATCACATAAGTAACCTAAATACAAAGAAAAGACTTTGGCTGGTAACACGTGAGGCTTCTTCAACTGGATTTATATCCTTGTCATAACAAAGCGCTCACTGTATGCTGCCAGTTTACAGTTTGGTGTTAAGGGCTTGCAGATTTGGATGTTGGCCTTTTCTCAGAGCAGCAGAGCTCAGTGGGTTTGTTCTCTATGGCCTGTGAAGTTGTGGAGTCTGGCAGTGATGGGGCTCATGTGGGGGGCAGTATAGGGGGTGGATCTCTCATCTGCCGCTATTGTGCTAGAGCGAGATGACCTTATAGGGAAGTGCTTTGTGGATAACCGTGCCACCCCAGCATGCTCAACGCACAGCGACCCTACCCATCAGCACCCGCACCCTCCACTGAGATTCCAGACACCATGGATAGTATGTGGCATTTAATGTGGTCTGGCAAGCGTCCGTTGTCACTGGGGGACTGTCTTTTGGCAAAGGTTCATGACTTGACTGAAGACTGAGAGAAATGGTCTCATCTTGCGGTGTGGGGGAGCAAGCTTGAGAAACACAAAAACCTCACATGTAGTGAGGTCCAGGCACAGGGGCAGGAAGGTTTTCATTTAAAGCAAACAGTGCAGGCTGAATGTACAGAGCTTGGTGTGCATGAGTATGCATGTAGGGTTCTGAATAAATAATATGCGTAACACATCGACCTAAATGTATGGTGTTATATAAATCTCAAGTAGTGCCTATTGCAGCAGTAATTCTTCATTATTACAGTTGAATTCTAGCTTTATACAGATTCTGAACTCTTCAGCCCACTGCAACAGCCATGTTAACCCTAAGTCATACTGCAATGACTGCTGGGAATCCCTGCTATGCTGCCTGGTTACAGATGGGATGGTGAGATGTCAGACTTTAACCCGGGGAAGGCTTTAAAGCAGAGCCTCTACTGAAAGTGTTGACCTGGAGACATGTGGAGAATGTGAACTTCTGCCCTGTTGCTTGCACACGTCCCTTTTTTATTTATCCAAGCTACAAAATCTGTACTTAAAGTGTTCAGTAGTGTTTGCACAAACATGGCTACAAGTTAGATGGTCTGCTTTGCTTGTTATTTAAATAACTATTTTCCGTGATGCTTGGCAGCTTTCACAAGATGTTTTCTCTGTAACAACATCAGAAAGTCAAAAGTCCAAGGTCCAGATCCTGGATTTGTTCTCAGCATAAAAGGTTAGTGTAGTGGTTGGATCCGTACGATCAAAGCCAGATAAGAAATTCTTTTCACTTCAGAATGAAATTTTTCATGCCAAACACACATGTAATTTCCAGCATGCTCTACTGAACCCCCAGTTAATATTGGCAAGATTTTTAGTGCTCCCAGTCCTGGGACAAGTTTTGTTACTGTGGCAACAGAACAGTTGCAGCAGGCTGAGGCTCTAAATAATATGCTGCTGCTGGTTAAGATTCATAACAGACAAAGACAAAAGCAGAGATCTCAGGGGGACAGTGAAGAGATGCTGCTTACATAACTTGAGGTTACAGTTTAGCATCAACTCTAAATCAGTCGACACGTGTTTGCATCTGTGAAAACACAACAGCAGGAAGTCAAGAAGCTAGTTAGCTCATGGTAAATATTGATTTATCTCTCCTACCAACTGACCGCTAACTAAACATTACGTACTCTGCCTCTGTTTGCTGACTAAAACACTGTAACACACTCCTGACTTTACTGGCACATCTAAAAACACATTAGAGCATTGTAAAAAAGTTAAATAGTTTCCATCAGTTATATAAGAAACTGAAGGCTCTATATATTCAAGAGTCATTATATGCAACGTAAAATATTTCAAGCCTTTTTTTGTTTGAATTTTGATGATTATGGCTTATTAATCATTAAATAAGAAATCCAAGATCTTAAAATGTTTGAATATTTTTAATATCAAGTTTTTGTAATTTCTTATTTAAATAGTATAAATATAAGCAACAGGGATGACTGTAGCTTTGAGAGAGGTTTGTCAAGAAAAGTTAATTCATGAACTTCACAAAGAACTGAGGCTGGTGTCAGTGCATCAAGAGCCACTAAAGACAGACGTCTTGAGGAAACGAGCTACAATTGTCATATTCCTCTATCAAGACAATCCTGAACCAGAGACAACATCAGAAGATCTTACCTGTGCTGAGAAGAAAAAGAAGTGGACTGTTGCTCAGTGGTCCTAAGTCCTATTTTTAGATGAAAGTAAATTTTGCATTTTATTTAGAAATCAAGGCCCTAGAGTCTAGATGAAGAGTGGAGAGTTACAGAATCCAAAGTGTTTGAAGTCCAGTGTGAAGTTTATGCAGTCTGTAATTATTATGAGTGTCATGTCTTTTGCTGGTGTTGGTCCACTGTGTTTTCTCAAGTCCAAAGTCAACACAGCGTCTTCCAGGAGATTTTATAACCCTTCATGCTTCCATCTGCTCACAAGCTTTATGGAGATGTCGATTTTCTTTCCAGTAGGGCACCAGACCTTTAAATACAGACCAGCTGAAGGCTGCTATCAACCCAACCTCAGCAGTGCCACAGGTTGATCACCTCTATGCCATGCTGCATTGATGCTGTAGGCCGTGACAAATAATCTGAGATACTGGATTTTAATGAACTATAGGTCATAATCAAAATAAAACAGAAAAGGCTTTAAATATTTTACTTTATATGTTAATTGTCCAGATTATATTAGCTTTTTTCTTTCTTATACAACTAAAATATAAATAAACAGCATGTTTGCAGACCCAAGGTTGTCCATTTTATTTCATTGATTTGACTAGAGGTGAAAGCTACATTACATAGAATAGGAGGCAGTGAGAGGTTAGTTTTTTATCTTTTATAGATGGTTTTTAATATCATGTCAGTCAAAGTATTTCCATAATTGTCCACATGTAAATGCAGCTGGTGAGTCAGTCAGTAGGAGATGTGTTGGAAAGCTGCAAGTTGCTTTGCCTGTGGACCGTTGTGAAGCTGCCCACTCAACATGACAGGAGGTCAGTCCTTTGTTCAGCTGCCATCAGCACATGTAGCCTCCCGGCCAGCCCTAAGGAAGCCCGGCCTGCTGAACCACACACTATCCCCTAACACACAGCAGGTCCAGGTGCCAGTCAAAGCTGGCACTTTGAGTTCAGTCAACGCCTCTCCTGCTGTTTAAAGGTCTGCCTAAAAGGCACCTCCAGGGGTCATAGTGGGAGCAATGTATCACCAGGTCCCAGCTTTTGTCTCTGTAAAATTTGTGGACTGTGTGAGCATTGGCAGGCACGGAGGTGAAAAAGTGTTCATGCCTGAGGAGATGCTTGGACGACTACCAAGTAGGATGTTGACACAAAGGGACAGATGATATACACACACCCTTCATCAGAGCAGGCCTGCAGAGTAACACTACCTCGAGACAAGTCCAGTGTTTAACAGTGTCACAGTGTCCCAACACTGGTTTTTGTGTATGTGAACATCAGCAGGCAGCATTGTTAGAAGTCCATTCCTCTAGCTCAGTTTCTTGGCTCAGCACTGTTCTCGAGGTCGTATTTCTTCAAAAGCAATGACTTAGTACAGGAAGTGTTACACAGCCATGTAGGATGTAATTGTAAGCTTTTTAGCTTCTAAGGGAAACATTTGGTGCTTTGTTCCTGAGGTGCAGCTAAAGATAATCCTTTTAATCTCTTCCATTTCTTCCGTTTATTTCTCTTAAGAAAATTAAGATTTGTAGCTTTGAAATAGGGATATCCTGGATTGTATGTGCAGCAATTAGTGATTCAGATCATCAGAATTTGAACTACAGCCCTAGTTTGCTAGTTTGTATTTTAAAAATGGCCCCAAGCTGGCATCAGTCCATTTGCTGGTTGGGTTGTGTCACCTTCTCGGAAGTAAAGCTTCCATTGTGGCAGTGTTTCCAGATTCAGGTGGTTTAAAAATGAAGCTGAGCACGACATTTGTCCTTCTAAGAAAAGCTGCCACTGTCTGCCTCGATTGGCCGGGGCCTGTTGGCAGATAAGAGCTTCTGGCACCGCTGTCAGGACATCTAATGAGTTGATGATCATCCAACTTTACACAGGGTCATGTCTCATAATGAGAAGTCAGCACTCAGAGCGCAGCAGCGCTATAATGTACGTCACTATACCAAGACTCTCATTAAGCTGGGATGTGTGAATCTGCAGACATCCACTGTTTAATGGAGTAGCATAGTAGAACAGTGCGAGGATAGCTTGTGTGTGATGTATCTAGAGTTGTGAGGCGATGTAGAGGAGCTGGTGCTCTCTTATTGTGGCAGTGATGATGAAGCAGCTGCAATCATAAGGCCACATCTAAACCTGATCAGCAGATTGGGAAACATATTGAAATGCTTTTACCATTTTTGGCGGCATGCGTTGTTGGTCACAGTGCTATTTTCCCCTCCCTTCCCTCAAGGGCATGGCTGGTTTTGGATTACGGTACATGTCTCCCTCAAATGGGATCTGGACTCTGGTACATTTAATCAAATGTTTGTTTTCAGGTTTTCTCTGAGTAAAAGTTTTCACTTCAGCTTTGTTTTTGTTTTTTGTTAGATTCCTAGATGTTTGGCAGACTTGCATGGTTTCTTGGATTCTAGCTACTCCGTATTCTTGGAGTCTTCTGTAACAATGTGACACAATTTACATTTTTAACTAAGTAGGCCTATATGTAGACTACGCCCACGGAACTGTGCCATACCCTGAGCCATTTCCCCAGTTTCCATCGCCTTTATGTACCATTAGGAAGCTGAATTGGGTCACTGCAATTCCGATGTACCCAAATTGGCCTTTTCCTTTGAGACGGGCCTTTTATGGCTCACAAGTCCTTCATTTCCTCCTCTTTCTTTGGTTCTCCTTTGCTTTCCCTACAGTGATGGCAGTGCTGCTTTGCTGCTGCGTGGCACAGCAACCACCCTGTAATGAGCTGTGCTTCATCAGTTCAGTTTACTCTACTGCTGAGCTACTGCCTGCAGAAAATAGACAACATCTCATCTGTTAAATCTTCATTTGGCTTGAACACACACAGACAGCACTCAACAGTACGAGGAATGCATGGGTGGACTCTGTGGCAATCAAAGCTTCAGTGGAGTGCAATTCATGTGGTGTTAAAGACTATTTCTACTTTATATAAGATGTGGTCTAACATGAGCTTTGGTCACAGACTTAATTTAAAATCAATTTCCTGAAGATTTGTCTGTGTTCATGCTCTTTATTTTTTGTGTGCTTTCTCAAATTACGTGTCTGTTTGGTTGTAGTTGGAGACAAGGTGCCTGCTGACATCCGTATCTGTTCAATCAAATCAACAACTCTGCGAGTAGACCAGTCCATTCTGACCGGTAAGACATATTTGCTGATGGTATCACTGTCTTCACATTGCTTTCTTGAGCTATTTTTATCAATTGGATTCTGGGTTTCTCCTTAAAACATGGTTATTTTTAAATGGATTAACGTTCAAAATTTGATGTTCTACTTTGACATCTGTACATTTTAGGTTTGTGACATACTGTGACAACTGGCACAGTTTCTCCTACACCTTGTCAGCTATATACTAGCCTTTTTAGCACAGCCCTAAAATTTAAGTAATTAAACGTATACTCATTATTCATTAATTAATAATAAGCCACAGAGGTTTAAAATTAAGCTAAAAACTAAAGGATTGTATGATTATCTGCCTGGCAGTCATCAGATCTGATAAATTATTATTTCTCAATTTTATCTCTAAATTATTTTAAAATGTGCTACTTTGGCTCTACAGGAGTTGCCTCTCTCAACCTTAATGACCACTCTGTGATCTTGAACAGTGCCTATGCCACCATGTAACAGAATACTGAAGGATTCATTTTGAAAAGTTATTTTTTAAAGAAACCACAAAATGGCATTTCAATACAGTTTTATGTTGGAGTTTCTGTTATTATAAAATTTTAACACCAAGAATTACTGCAGATGTATATTTGTTACGAATTGTGCTTCAGGTCACACTGACATTGACCCTGGGTAGAAAACAATGTATCAGTTGACCCCTACTAAAGACATAGATGTCAATTATATCTGGACAAATAGAGGCTCTGATCACTGACTGGAAAATTGATTAATGGTTTTGAGCAAATTTGTAAGAAAAAAAAAGTCAAAATTCTCACATTTTACCTTGTTAAATTTGAATGCTGTCCGGTTTCTTAGCACCTCTGTGACCGTAAACTAAATGCTTTTGGGTTGTGGACAAAACAAGTCTTTTAAAGGAGGTCAACTTGGTCTTTGGAAAACACAGATATTTTACATTTTTCCGTTATCTGACATTTTGTAGACCAAACAACTAATTGATTAATCAACAAAAATAATCAACAGATTAATCAACAGTGAAAAGAATTGCAGCCTTGTTGCTTATTGTTCTCACTCTAAGGCTTAAATATCACCTAAGTCCATAAAGTTTAGTGAATTTGTTTAAATTAAAATTTTAGTTGTCGCTGCTGAGAGCAACTGGCACATAGAGTTCAGTCTGTTGTTTTATTTAGGACTCCAGTAGAATGTCATTTTATAGCCAAGATGTCGTTAATTAAATGTGTTCCCCAGCTACAGTTGAACAAAGAGTCACTGCTTCCTTCATTTCAAAATCGGAAAATAATTTTAGTGTAAGATAACGTCATTTAATAATAATGGACCAGTCCTCCCCACGTGTTTGATGAACCTAAACAGCTGGTTGACTGATCTCTTGTTTGAGCTGACTGCAGAACAAGCTCAGAGGTCTATCATGACACTGTTCCCAGCATATTGAAGCACATTTGCTTTTGAACTGAATCCGCTGTGAAAGATCAGTGAGACAGCATGAATGATCGGCGCTGCAGACTTATCAGTAGAGATAACTGTCTGTGCTTTGTTCCTAAAATCATCTGTAGACAAATGCAAACTGATTTTACCTGATCCCCCTCTCTGTGCTGTCTTTGTAGGCGAATCTGTCTCTGTCATTAAACACACCGACCCTGTGCCTGACCCTCGGGCTGTCAATCAAGACAAAAAGAACATGCTCTTCTCTGTAAGTGAAAATCTGCACAACTTATCACACATCCTGTTGATGTCATGCAGCTTCTTGTTTGTTTAGTTTCTGTGTAGTTCCTGGAAAAAAAAACTTGCTCCTGTCATTATTTAAATATGTGTGAGATGTTATCAGGTGCACTTGTGCAAACATGTACTTGACTTATTATTTCAGGGTACCAACATTGCTGCTGGGAAGGCCGTGGGTGTGGTTGTTGCCACTGGGGTGAACACAGAAATCGGTAAGATCCGTGACGAGATGGCGGCCACTGAGCAGGAGAAGACGCCCCTGCAGCAGAAGTTGGACGAATTTGGCCAGCAGCTGTCTAAGGTCATTTCCATTATCTGCATCGCCGTATGGATCATCAACATTGGACACTTCAACGACCCCGTCCATGGAGGCTCCTGGATCCGTGGGGCTGTGTACTACTTCAAGATTGCCGTGGCATTGGCCGTGGCTGCCATCCCTGAGGGTCTTCCTGCCGTCATCACCACCTGTCTGGCCCTGGGCACTCGCCGCATGGCCAAAAAGAATGCCATCGTCCGCAGCCTGCCCTCCGTGGAGACCCTGGGCTGCACCTCCGTCATCTGTTCTGACAAAACTGGAACCCTGACGACCAACCAGATGTCTGTCTGCAGAGTGAGTCTCACACACACACACACACACACACACACACACACACACACACACAATGTTGGTGCATTGCTGAGCAGTTTAGTTGTCAGTGCTTTGTCATGTTTGTTGTCCCTGCCCAATGTTTGGATAAGGTGACAGCACTTGGAGAGACTATAACTGCGCAAGTCACTTTCAGCACAGTTGTCAGCAAAAATGCTAATGCTCTGTGCAAACAGAGAGAGTGGAGTTTTCTTTGTGATCAGGTATTCAGGTTATTTGACGAGAAGGCAGCCTGCTGCCGTTCCTCTAATCTACATTGAGCTGTTGGATGACTTGCAGTGCTGCTGTTGCATAACTGACCTTGCGTCACCAAGCTGCAAAGCAGGCAGCCTGTAGTTCCTTTTCTCTCTCTCTCTCTTTCTTTCTCTCTGTATCTGTGAGTGGCACCCCAGTGCTGCTTGGCCCCACATAAAGAGAACATTTCAGCATTTATTAAAGTTTAATCCCCTTTAGTTGCAGGTTCAGTGCTTTCTCAGAACTTTGGCACAGTCTGAATTAGACCAGTGGCATTAATGTACAGTTTTTATCAAACAGTTGTTTACCTTTCTGTTGTTGTGGCTGCATGTTGAGCTGGTCTTAATTAAACAGCCTTGTGATTCTGCAGTTATTATAATTGATTTATAGGGATTCACAGACAGCCATATATTAAACCACTGAAAAGAGAAAACATTTGTAAAACTCAGGACATGCAAACAGAAATCTTTAAAAAGGTGCTTTAGTTGAAATTACACCCCTGGCTTGTAATACAGAGTTATTTGTATATTATTATGAAGCAAATACATTCAGTTATTTAAGATGTACATTTTGATCCGGTAGTGTATAATAATGATTATAACATCAGCAAATTGCTAAAAAAGGAAAAATCTGTGCTGTTATATCACAATTAGACTACTTGTCTTCTAGTTTTATACAGCAATTTGTTTTATGGCTGCATGTTGTCCTCACATAACCTAATCCCTCTTTTGATATTTTCTGGCCATGATCAATCTTGAAAGTTATTTTTATGCAACTATTGCTACTAAAATAAGTAATGGAACATTCATTTGCTCTAGACCTATCAGGGAGAGGCAGCTCCAGGATTGGAGGCTTGACTGATTGTCATCATCCGTTTTCTGATATGACCAACCCCTGACTAGCCTTTTGTGAATATAGACTGTGTGTGTCTGTGTGAGTGTGTGTTTGTGAGACACAATCAAAGCTTCCTGTGGGAGCAGGCCTGGCACTGCAGCTTCTTCTTTTGGGCACAGCTTCCCTCTTTACTCAGCCTCCCTGGCAGCCTCATCTGTTTACTTATGGAGAGAAACTAAACACCCTTTTCTCACATTAGGCAGCAGGCCACCCAGTCTGGTCCTCAAAGAAACGCACTCTGTAACACTGCAGGCTGATGTACTGTCTTCAAAAAGCTTTCACTCCTCAGATGCACTTGGGATTTCTGTGGTTTGTGCTGCCACCTGCTGTGTCAGTACAGAAACTGGCAGCCGACTCAAACAGTGACATGATCAAATGATGTCTGCTTTGGGATGAAAAATCATTCTTTTCTTTTGTCCCACCTGGTGTTTTGATTTCCAGATGTTCGTTATCAACAAAGCTGAAGGTGACAGCTGCTCTCTGTCAGAGTTCACCATCACAGGTTCTACCTACGCACCTGAGGGAGAAGTGTAAGTACTCGTACAGCTTCTCCCTGACAAGCAAATCCAGATGTAGAATGACCCTGTTGTTTTGTTATGATGACACACTCACAGGTTGATACTCTATATTCATCCTTAGGTACCATGATGGGAAACAAGTGAAAACCTCCCAGTATGATGCATTGGTTGAACTGGCCACTATCTGTGCCCTGTGTAACGACTCCTCTCTGGACTTCAACGAGGTTTGCATCGTGCCTTCTTCTTATTCTGTTCACTTGGCAAAGTGTCAACTCGCATACATTAACATAGATGAGTAACATTCCTTAAATTTTGTCACTAATCTGCATACAAAAAAAGCCATATATGCGTGTATACAATCAACAGGATGTATTTAAATGCACGTACATCATGTGCATGGAGGTTTCAGCGGAGGGGCAAACTAGTTTGTGCTCCAGAACATTCTAAATAGGATTTAATACTAAAATTTAAGTGTAGAGCTGACCCCTAATACCAAACAAATAAACTCCTTTCTATATTGAAAACTATGCCAAATACACCACTGTTGTTCACTCTGGGGCAAAAACCTTTTGATAGATGTGACAGTTTGCCCCACAGTTAAAGCTATGTGGAATCATAGAAACAGCAACAGTGTTAGATTTTGAGAGCATGCAACCAAAAAAACTCCCACCCCCTCCCTTCAGGGAGTCCAAAACCACCCCTTCAATACACATGAAGGGATACTGCCTAAGTGCTGCTGAGGACTCATCCACAAGCGGAAGCGTTGGTAGGGAGAGGAGCACAGTTCAATAAAACTACCTCATGTCGGAAAACACACAAATATCCTACATTATCACATCTACAAAACATCCCTTTCAAAGATAAATTAGACTACTTAAAAATACACTTTATCACAACGAAACTGTAATGCACATACACTTCTTTCCATAACTCTGCTAGCATCTTAATGTGTTGGCTGAATGAGCACCCTGGGAACTTTTCTGTAAAAATCACAATTGCAATCTCACTGTCTCAGAACTAGTAACATTTCTGTGTCACTTTCAACATGGCACAAGTCTAAACTGGATGCCGTCACATTAACAGACGTGCTATGAGTTGTGTTAAGTAATTTAAGTAAGGATTTTTACTAATTTCAGCACCAGTATTCGTTCAGAAACACAGCAAGCAGCAGACGCAGTCAAAATAAAAAAAAAAAAAGATACTCACTTCGCTTTCCAATTTTGCGTCTGTTATAAACTTAAATTTCCATTAAAATAAAACATAACTGCAATGAAGACAGAGCAGCACAGATTAATGAGACTCACCAGTAATGAGGGTGCTTCAGGTTCTGACAAAACGCTAACAGGGGCTTAAGTTTATTTTGCTGCTTCAAGCTGTTTATAGGAGTCTTGTCCCTGAGTGACTCGAATTGAACGGACTTTATTAAATACCTGCAGTATCAAACAGCAGCAGGATCCATATGAACGCCTCCAAAGAGGGAGAGCTGCACACATTTACGACAACAGCAATAACTTTTGTTACTTATCATTCTAAATCATTTTCAACACAGAGACAGAATCAGTGAGGATCTAACAGCAGGTCAACACTATGTACTTTCATTTACCTCAGACAGGTGAGCTGTCACATACAGTTACAGTTTATCACCTGCAGTTAAATCCTTTGTTACCCACTGGCCATCCTCAGGTTGAGTCCTGAGCTCCATCGCAACAGAGAGGATTTTTATTTTTTTTACTGTTGGTAAAGTAGTAGTTAGATTGTCATCGCACATGGACAGAATTTCCAGTGTTTTTCGAATATCAGAAATAAACTATTACTTGCACAGTTTGACAAGTTTGTATTGTTGTGTATTATACGTCAGTTGCTGTGCTGTCTAGTTTTTCATAAATGACAAATACTGCATGTATGCAAAGTAAAATAGCTCTGGTTAGTTTTTGTTTTTTTAAAGTGCCATGTTTTTGGACTCGTGTAGTTAGACTATGATATTCGTTTTATTCTGCTTTTACTTTATGTATTTATTTATTCTATCCAATAACTATATTTTCCCTGTTTGTGTCTGCTTGTGTTGGCTGCAGCATGGGTGAATAGCACAAAACAAATTTCCCTCGCCTGGGACAATAAAGTTAATCTTGAATCTTGAATCATGCCGGGGGCCTCTCCATCTCTGGCATGAAGTTGTCTGAATAAAGCTGTGAGGAACAATAACATAAAAACTATTTGATGTATAGATTGCTGTCGGGATTTAAAGAGACTTTCAACAAATATAACAAAACATCCTTCTGGAATATAACGCATACTCTACTTTTAAGTGGTACAAATTCTGGCAATTATTTTTTAAAATATTTTTTTGTTATTTAAGACAATGGAAAATAGTCACAACATGAGTCCAGTTTTTAATTGTCCTCAATTAATCACCACTGATCTTACAATTATACAAGCTGCAGACACTGAAACATTAGATGAAGACATTTTGCAGTTTCTTTGTTCTATTCTGAGTGCTTGAGGTGAAGTAATCTTTTTGGACAAACTTGAAAAGGATTCAGAATCAAAGGCATGAGCATGCATGTTTTCGATGTCTCAGGTGAAGGGTGTGTACGAGAAGGTCGGCGAGGCCACGGAGACGGCGCTGACCTGTCTGGTGGAGAAAATGAACGTCTTTGACACCGAAGTCCACAACCTGTCCAAGATTGACAGAGCCAACGCCTGCAACTCGGTGAGTGACACCAGCTCCTTCCCGCTGCACATTTCCACTGTTCCCACTCAGCAGGTTTCCTCACTGTCTGTGCTTCTGTCGGATCAGGTGATCAAACAGCTGATGAGAAAGGAGTTCACTCTGGAGTTCTCCAGAGACAGAAAGTCCATGTCGGTCTACTGCACCCCCAACAAGTCCCGTTCTTCCATTGGCAAGATGTTTGTTAAGGTATACTGACTCACTATATGTGGTGAAGGCTTGTGTGTAACTTTGCATTTGGTGTCAGTCTTCTGTCATGTTGTGAGTATTTTATACATCACAGGGAGCCCCAGAGGGAGTCATTGACAGATGCACTCACGTCAGAGTGGGCAACAACAAAGTTCCTCTCAGTCAAGGCATAAAGGAAAAGATCATGTCTGTTATCCGTGAGTACGGGACAGGTCGTGACACCCTAAGGTGCTTGGCTCTGGCCACACGAGACAGCCCACCCAAAATGGATGACATGATACTGTCTGACACCGCCAAATTTTCAGAGTATGAGGTAAAGTTTCATTAACTGTTGGGTGAAAATGTGCCAGGTGTATTCTTTTCAGCCCTCCACATTCATTAACACCTTTGTCTCTTTGCGTCCAGTCCGACCTCACCTTCGTCGGCTGCGTCGGCATGCTGGACCCTCCCAGACAGGAGGTGGCTGCTTCTATCAAGCTGTGCCGTCAGGCTGGCATCCGCGTCATCATGATCACTGGGGACAACAAGGGCACAGCTGTGGCTATCTGCCGCCGCATTGGTATTCTGACTGAGGAGGATGATGTCGAGCGCATGGCCTTTACCGGACGTGAGTTCGACGAACTCTCACCCTACACTCAACGGGAGGCTGTGACTCATGCCCGCTGTTTCGCCCGCGTCGAACCTTCCCACAAGTCCAAGATCGTTGAGTTTCTGCAGGGATTTGACGAGATCACTGCTATGGTATGAAGGCTGAATGCTGATTCTGCAGTTTCCTGACCATTAAAAGAGCATTCTGGTTTATTTCAACATGATGCATGTTTTAGCCAACTTGTCAATTCCCAGAATCTGTACAACAGAGTTGAAGAGTACTAAGCTAGCATGACATTAAAAGTTGCAACAGCCATATCAATGGAAAATATGCCAGGTAGTACACAGGAATTCTCCTAACATTTCATTTAAATCAAATCAAGTTTATTGTCATTTTACTGTACATACAATCAGGCCAGCTGACAGCCTTCCCTGGGCCCGGGACAAGATGATATTAGATGCTATAGATATAATTTAGGGGTAATAGACATTGCTTTTGAATTGTGGTCGAAATTTTTTTTTAAATAAAATACTAAGAAAGAATAATAAGAACAAGTAGGGGTCCTCGGACCCTAAAAAAAGAAAAAAAAAAACTGTCCCGGACAAATTAGAGCATTTTGCTAATGAGCAGTGAGCCAAAATCAAAATACCTGTCAACAGGTGCAGAAGTCTGATTGAGAGTTACAGAAAACACTTGATTGTAGTGATTGCCTCAAAGGGTTGTTCAACAAAATATTAGTTTACATATCAATTTAAAGTCTCACGTCTGTAAGTTTTGCGGATGAACGTCTGTGATAGGCAAGACACTCAGCGTTCACTCTTGCAGTCTCCTGAAGGGGCTGCTGCGTCCGCATGCCGCCATCTCCATAGCAACTTGTGTTGAAGCTGTTTCTAGTTAGCATTGAAACGATGGTTTTAACATGTTCTAAAACTTATAATCTTCCTTTGTCAGCCACCATGTTTGTTGTGTTGATGTGTAGGTGCTACAGAACAAAGTAATCCAGCTCTCTGTAACAGAATGTTTTTCTACAGACAGGTGATGGAGTGAACGATGCTCCTGCCCTGAAGAAGGCAGAGATCGGCATCGCTATGGGCTCTGGCACTGCCGTGGCCAAGTCAGCCTCTGAAATGGTCCTCGCCGATGACAACTTCTCTTCCATAGTGGCTGCTGTCGAGGAGGGCAGAGCTATTTACAACAACATGAAGCAGTTCATCAGATACCTTATCTCCTCCAACGTTGGTGAGGTCGTCTGGTGAGTCTTTACTGAGCAGAGTGTTTCACATGGGATTCATTTTTTTAGAACTGATACTGGGAGAAATAAACATCATAGAATTGAGTTAAAAACAAAAACCTGTAAATCAAGGTAAATGTAAAGTCATACCTTCATATACAAGTCAAATATACGACATGAATGAATGAATGAATGAACTTGTATACAATGAACTATATGCATGAATACAGGACTACTGCCATTTTGGCATTCACTAAAACCTGGCTAAGCAGCAGTGTCAGCAACAGTTCTCTGCATATAGACTGGTTTGGGACACCAATAAGGCTCGACCGTGACAGTCAGCTGACAGGGAATTTGTAGGAAGTCTACATCCACCCTAAAGCAAAGGCAGCTGCACCCTCAGATCACATCAGGACTGTGCTGAACAGATTGGAAGTCATGTCCCCTGACTACAAAATTCATCCTTGGCGATTTTATGAATCTATTTGTTCATTTTGTGTTTTATTTTCTATTGTGTTTAATTTTTTGATGTCTTTATACGAAATACTCAGTGAGCTTTTGAATTGCCCCTAAGGGATAAATGAAGTTATTTGAACTCAATTGAGTTGAAATATGCTTCAGTGTGTGATGAACAGGTTCTAACTGGACCTATCTCCTGGTAGCATCTTCCTTACTGCAGCTCTGGGCTTCCCTGAGGCACTGATCCCAGTTCAGCTGCTCTGGGTCAACCTGGTGACAGACGGTCTTCCTGCCACGGCCCTGGGCTTCAACCCCCCGGATCTGGACATCATGGAGAAGCCTCCTCGCAATGCGAAGGAGCCCCTGATCTCTGGCTGGCTCTTCTTCAGATACCTGGCCATTGGAGGTTAGCTGATAGCAGCCAGGAGGGGAAAGTTAACTGTCAGGCTTTATATATAAAAGTGTCGGAAGAATCTTGAATATTTCCTCTTGCAGTTTGATGAATAAGTAATTTGTGTCTAATGGTGTTGTTTTGGTGTCTGTGCTTCCAGGCTATGTGGGTGCTGCCACTGTGGGGGCTGCTGCTTGGTGGTTTACAGTGTCTGAAGATGGACCGCAGCTCACGCTGTACCAGCTGGTGAGTGTGTCTGTCTGAGAGAACATCCTTCAGCTCCTCTTGGCTCCCTGCCTCCCCCTCACTCCCCTCCCTCCCTTCCCCCACAGAGCCACTTCCTGCAGTGTGGCCCCGACAACCCAGAATTTGACGGCTTGGATTGCCACGTGTTTGAGTCTCCGTACCCGATGACCATGGCCCTGTCTGTGCTCGTTACCATCGAGATGTGCAATGCTTTGAACAGGTAAATGAGTGTCTGTTTTTTAAAGAGTGGAGAAGTTCTCATGAATGCGTCATTTGCAGACAAAGTGTATAATTGAATCACCATCTGTGTTGCCTCTCCTGTCCAGCCTGTCAGAAAACCAGTCTCTGCTGCGGATGCCTCCCTGGGAGAACATTTGGCTGCTGGGGGCCATCTGCCTCTCCATGTCTCTCCACTTCCTGATTCTTTATGTGGAACCTCTGCCGGTGAGTTTTATGAAACCGGTGTGTTTAGTGATGACTTGATGGGATTGTCAAAATGATCTGGATGTTTCACAGCACAGGTGGAGTTTTAGGCTCTATGTAGTCTGACTCACCAGATGTAGGAAGTGGGTTTAAGTGTGTCGTTGGCAGCTCATTTCAACCGGCTTTGTTCTTCCCTTCTGTTATCCAAGTGACACCATTTTGTTTGCAATTGCAAAGAACAACCTTTGAGCAGCAACCTCCCATACTGAAAATTTCAAGTTCTGCTGAGGATTTGGATCGTACACTGATGCAGCCAAACTAGTTGTTTTGGTGAATTATCCAGAATAATTCCAGTGCTTGTCTCCCTGTTCAGCTAAAACTATTCCACCTGTCACTATTTTGAGGGAACATTGAAGCCGCATCCTTTGCTTAGTTCTGCCCACAATAACTGTGATTAGTTTGAAGCGACAAACAATCCAGAGCATTTTTCCCTCTGTAGCAGAATGATAGAGTGATGCAGCCGGACCTTTATGTACAACAGAGTGGGTTTACCAGACTAGGCTTTATAGGGTTTTGATGGCCCTCTAGTGGACATGTGGCTTCACTACAGATAGGTAATGGCCTCCTTGAAATAAAAGATAAATACTTGAAGTAAAATAAAAATAAATAAAAAAGAAAGAACGAGTTTCCCATGCAACACATACAGACATGTTCAGGCAGTTAGCCTTTTATGCAGTAGACCACAGTAGGATTAAGTACCCAGATTAGCGTTGTTTCCTCCTGATTCCAATATTTCTGCTGCGCTAACCTTCTCCTGACTCCAGCTTCATGTTTGGCATAACAGTGGTATCGCTCATTACATCTAACTCTCACGAGAGATATAGTTTTAAAATATCCATTTCAAGCTATTCCTTTAACCACTGCACCACCAGATGCCCCATCCATTCCTCTCGAGGCTCTTATGGTCCAGGGGCAGAGTTTTATCCTCAGCAGGAGTTACGCATGCTTTAGTCTGACTCCCTGGATGTAGACTGTGGGAATAAGCTTGCTATTGGCTGTATAGTTCATGCAGGATTTTCTCCCTTTCTGCTATTTGTGTGTAACTGTTTTCAGGATCATTTCTGTTATGAGAAACTACAGATTCCCCCATTTTTTGAGACCTACTTTGTGTTAGCTAACAATGTGTTTTACATTCCTCCTGATGCTTATGAACATTTGGTAAATCGGTCAAGCCCAATTTTAACACACTGCCTGTTTAGGAAAGCAATCTGCTGAGTGGACAGATGAAGTAGAGATGACTTGACACTTTACGTGATGCATTTATTTCTCATTATTCATTTTAGAAAGCCGATCCCTGACATTATCCACCTGCTGGTTGTGAGTGCAGCTGCTCTGCCTGCTGGGATAGTGAAGCTGTAGCTGAATATCTGGTTACTGCTGCTGCTGTGCTTCAGCCATAGATGTGTGCAGCTGTTACTGTTTGAACTTGTGCTCCCTCTATGACAGATGTGTTTATTTAGGAGTTAAGGTATAGAGGAGGTGCAACTGTTGGCTAGCGAAACCGTCATTCCCTCCACACACTGCATGCTGCTGGTGTTACAGCCATTAAGCACACATCACAGTCAGAATTGTAGCATCAGCTAAAGTTGAGGGAGCTCTTTTTGTAGTTACAACTGTACAAACTACAGCAACACAGTATCATGCAGCCTATAGACCAGCGTCGGTTGTGAAATCAGTGAGAATCAATGCATCCTCAGCTGTGTCTGTCAGGCACAAGTCTGCATCATTGCATGACGAGAGAAAACTAAAAGAGCTGATTCAGCAGCTCTGTCACTGACTTGCACACTATTGACTGCATCCTTGTGATGACAGCTTCCACTGGGGCTGCAGCCATAGTTGCAATTATGGCTGAAATCTTAACAATAACCATATATCAGCCATAGCTTGACGGTCACAGCAGGCAGAGCGGCTGCAGCCTGACACTGTTGGGGATCAGCCTTTTAAAATGAATAATGAGCAAAAAATACATCAATGTCGCATCAGCTCTCCTTTCTGTAGTATCTGCAGTGTTTCCCTAAACAGGAAGTGTGTTTAAACAGGACTCCTCCAACACACTAACTGTTCATACGGACTAGATTGAATGTATAGCATATTGTGAGGCAGCACAAATCAAAAAAGTCTCACTGTGACCCTTCCAGGACTTCGTTGGAACCACGACAACAACCTTTGAGCTAAAAACCCACATGTTGAAAATGGTTAAAGTTTTATTATGCAATAATACAGGCCTGCTTCCTTTCAGTAAACGGCTGTAAAAATCTAAAAGAATATGTTTACAGCATTTACTGTCTAACAGCAATGTTTGTGCATGTTTGCTTACCAGTTATCAGAAAAAATTGATTTTCCAAATGTGTTCCACCAAAACCATTTGCAGGGGCACCATCACCGACCAAGAACATTATGATTAGTTTAAAGAAATACAAAAAAGCCAAATCTTGTCCCCCATATAGCAGAGTGATAATGTTTTTAACCGTACAAAAGCTGTCAAACAGAAAAGCACAACAAAAACAAATGTAAATCAAATAACCTCAATAAAAATAGAATGGAGAACATAGCAGTAAGTTCACTCAAAAACTCTAAAGTTAATAAATATATTCATGGTTTAGGAAGCTTTTATGTTGTATGACCGAAATCTTTGATGCTTTTCATTTCCTTCATAAAAATGAAAAATGTGTATGTAAATTTACATTTGTGAATATGGTACAGTCTAGTAAAGAACAAAGTCTAAGCAAATGTTGTCAGCTAAAAAATGACTTAAATATAAATAATATTTAAGACTTGGGTAATACTGAGAATCCTGTAAAAAGTTGCTGTAATGTCAGATGACAGTTGTTGCCATCTTCTCTCCCAGGTCATCTTCCAGATCACCCCTCTGGATACAACCCAGTGGATGATGGTGCTGAAGATCTCGCTGCCTGTCATCCTGCTGGATGAGCTGCTAAAGTTTATGGCCAGGAACTACTTGGATTTTGGTAAACAGCTGGAGAAGCCGGCCAGCAAAGGCTGCTCCCTGTCTGCATGCGCCGAGGGCATCTCCTGGCCCTTCGTGGCCATCTCCCTGCCCCTGGTGCTGTGGATCTACAGCACCGACACTAACGTGTCCGCCATGTTGTGGCCCTGACTGACTCAAGCACCCCGCCCTCCCTGTGCACCCGTGTGAAGTGGACATTAACACACACATCTAACACAGTTACATTAACTCGGAACAACTTCCAGTCAACACTCGCACCTGCTCTGACCACCGTCAGATCTTTTTCTATTTACTACATTTATCCTGATACATATTTTTGGGTGGGGTGGGGGGTGGGGGGTTTAGTCATATTTTAATGACTTTGACTGACATTACGTCTACGTGTTTTATTTTACCATCGTGCTTTTCCCTCTTTTGACCCCCGCTGTGAACAGTTGGATATGTTGGAGCTGTGTGTTGAGCTGTACAGAGAATTTACACTATTTTATAATAATTAATGTTTTGTAATTTTGGGGGGAGGGGCCGTGGGGACGAGAAAGCTGGGTGTAAAGAGAATATGAGGACCGCATAGTATAATACTAATTTGAGGGCGAAGACTTGAATTTATTTGCCCTGGCAGAATCTCTAGTCATTTTTGAGCTCCATGCATCGTGTTCGTTCATTATTTTCTGCATTAGGCAGAGCACAGCTACCTCAATGCTGTTAATATGACCATAACTACCCATTTGTCTTAACAACCATTTCCTAGATTATCATTTGAAGTGTTGAGGTAAGCACCAATTTGTTTTGCAGTAGAGACGAAGCCCTCACACACATTTTTGATGTTGTTTTTTTAATATATTTTTCTTTTCCTCTGTTATCTGAGGGAAGAGGACAAAGATGTTACCAGTTTGATTCAAAGCAATTTTTGATACAGTTTGTTGTTAAAATTATTTACTTGAAGAAACACATTTGTCTGGATTTTGTTTTCAAGTTTTGAGATTTAGTCTGTTTTAGTTTTTCATCTTAATTACAGTAATCCTTATAATATATGTAAAATGTGCACATACTGTACTTGAATATGTAAAAAGGCACCAAGAAGCTGTTATCAACTGAGCACAACATGGACAGGTTAAGAGGAGCTCAGCCCTCTGAAGGCTGAAACAGCTGGTCATTGGAAGAGTCTGTATATCTGTACATAGCACACAAAGTAGAAACTCTGTATACATATTTTTCTGTTGTTGTTTCAGTGCTCCACACAGTTACACTAGTTTACTTCAGTGTGCTCTTAGCCTTAGTGCATGGCTGCTCCAATAATCCCAGGCCAGTGAGTGCTTTGAGTTCTTTTTTCGGTTTTATAGCTAACTGTTGTTTCTTCCAATGCCTTCCACCTGTTTACCTGCAGAGTGAGTACACTTTGACCTGCATGCAAACTACTACCAGTGCGCTTTCTTCTTTGTGTGTTTGCACATGCAGCTTTGCAGTCTGTCATTGCTCATACAAAATGACAGCAATAATAGCTCCTCATTTTTTAAATTAGACTAGCTTTTTAAGAAACTAACGGTACGAAAGAGGAGCGAACTTAGGTGATTGTAGTTTAAAATGCCTTCAATGTCACCAAGTGCCAGGTACACACTGAGTGGAAAAGGAGTGTTTTACATTTCAAACAGGCTCAGTATCACTGGTGCCGGTTGTTTTTGATTGTAGACTTGCAGCATGTTTTGGCAACTGGCAGACAATGACATTTAAGTGCCCCCACACCATGACTGGAATATGGTGTTGTGTGTATTTGTTTAGTTTTTTTAAGAAATTGCATTTTCCCTTTGCTTGCCCATAGCATGGCCTGGCCTGTATTGCTCTGTTTTAATTTAAATTATTCGCTACTCTGATGCGTTTACTTTGGCGTGTGATTTCTTCATGTGCATTGATTTGTTTCTTCCTCTCTCTTCTTTTTCTTTGCAGCAAAGGCCAAGTAAGCCCACCTCTACTCTAAATTCCTTGCAGAAACTTTGGTTTGGTTTTGTGTTGTGCATGTGTGTTTTGGGCAGCACATCTTACTAAGAGCTGCATGTCAGTGAAGTGATACAATGACAGGAGCTCATCAAGTTCATACATGATTTTTATAGAACGGCCATAAACAAATGTCTGATGGAAACTAGCCAGTCCCACCTCGTCAGTCCTTCCATCCTCCTGCATGAAGAGCCTTCGATTATGACACAATCTCATGCCATCTTTTTAGACTAAGATCTTAGTACCGTGTACAGTCAATTGTACATTATTCCTTGGTGCATGTCCGCTCAGTCAGCCATCTGTTTTACCAGACTTCTGTTATAGACAATGTATGGTATTGGTAAATAGATTAGACATTCGTCAGATAGTACAACTGTTAAATAAGCTCAAAAACACAGTTCATCTTTCCTAAGGAAATACTTTTATGGGATATTTAAAAACCAAACAGACTTTTTTTTTTTTTGCTTTGCACTGAGATGTGCAACATGTTTGGAGCAGATTTTGCCACATCTGGGAAGGCAGATGTGCAGCAATGCACATGTTTCACCATGAGAAAGGCAGGCAGTCCCTCCTCTGGCATTTTTTGCCAAACTGCTGTACTGTATTTTCAGAGATGATTGTACAATGTATCACATGAACTTTGGTTTCAGGTAAATAAAGCTGTCATACATGAAGAGTTTACTGAGTTTGTCCTGGTTTCATTAAACTTATTTCAACAGATTTAATGTGATGCAACGAAGAAAGTAGGTGACATTTATATCAAGTGAGAGTGTTTAATAATTTTATTATACATTTAAAATATGTACAAAATACTATACACATTTGTCTTGAAGTGATAAAGTAAAACTTCCCAACTTCAGAATGAGTCAATCATGGGGTTATTTTTTTTTTATATATTTATATAAAGAAAGGCAATGGGCAGCACACAGTAATAAAAAAAAACATACTACATGACACAAATTCTCATGTGACAGAAATGGAGATATATTTTAAAAAGCAGCAGAAATATGGAACACTTACTTGTTCAGACTTCCAGTTTGCCTGTCAGAGACAGAAAGTCCTGCAATATTCACAAGCTTTATTGTGACACAGATGACATCCAAACTTTGCCTCCTCTGAGGAAACTTGAGTCAGTCAGGCTCAAACAAAAATTAAAAATCTTTGCCAGCCTCTTCTGTAACACGTCGCATGTAACTCCAGGCATTTTTGGCCTTAACCTGAGTTTTCATCAGTTGATGTTGACCAAATTTCAACTGCTTCAGTGCTTATTTTCCTGCATTCACTTTGCCCTAAACAGCTCTCAGTACAGCACAGAAAGGTCACATTAAAAACAAGGATGCTCGCTGTGAATAGTTTAACATTAAGTTGTGTTTTGCACTGCCCAGCAGCCAAGTAGAAAATAGCCACGGCAATATGAGAAATGTGCCAACATCTCTCACCACAAAGTGAGAAATAAAGGCGTCATTTTGCTTTTCTGGGGTTGAGCGCCCCTTGGTTTTATAAGACTGTGCTGGAGAGCTGTGAAAACCAGTAAATAAAGCTGAAGTGACCTCACGGTGAAGCTGATGAGGTTGTCAGCAGGATTGAAAACAGAATCTGATCAAAAATGGCTGGAGTTCTGCAATAAGCTGTGTTTTAATAAAATCACTGCAGTCCTCCTGAAGCAAAAATCAAGCATCAGTTCATCCAAGGGTGCAAACATTAATCTCTGAGTTCCATGTCAAAGCTTTGTTGTCTTTAAAGTTAGCAACATCAGTCACTTGGTGTTGACCTCTGATGGTGTGAGGAGTGAGCAGCAGTACGACCTCCAGAGGCTGCACCGTCCTGTTTGACAGCCCTGACAGCTGAAGGCTTCCTGTGGGCTGCAGAGTTTAGAAGGTGGTACTGGCTGAGCCTCCCTCAGCGGCCCAGGGTCACTGCATCCCAAACCACTGTTCCTGATCTGCCCACTGAGCCGCTTCACTGTCACTGCCCTCCAGATCTCCGTCCTCTCCACTGCCCTCCATGTCGTCACCGTCCAGCTCCACAGTGGCATCAGTAGGGCTCTCCTCCTTCTCCATCTTCTGCATGCCTTCTAAAGACTTCTGGTCGTTAGGATCCAGGCTGAGGAGAAAAGAACAAAGTGTTAAAAGCGATGAATATAAATAATCAAACATAAATAACTAAAGATTGTCTTCAGACTTTAAATAGCACATTGAGCATATGTTAAGTCTATAATTAGCAAGGAACTTTGCAAAACAAGTGCTTGAATGTTAGCGTCATATGATTTTAAATGAGCCACTGTGCAGAAAGACTTTGTATTATCAGACGAGCTAAGATAAAACTGGGAAATGCGGCAGAGTGCACTGGCAAGAGGAAGTGACAATCATTTTACAGCAACATCAAACATTAATACATTTACCAGACCAGAAGTAAGAGATGCTATCTGCTGATGAATGCTGTTAAGTGCACTTAAACCCAAATTTTTCATTCATGATTTTTTTGAATTGAACAGTTTATTTCTTGATTACCTGTGGACATTTTGTTGATTCATTACCTAATTTAAAATAAGTGAACTGCAGACAGACTGCAGATCTACTTAAGCAAACAGAGACAAAGCAGACAACAGTGTTTGAACGTTCATCTAAACTCGCAGTTTAGAACTTTTGTCTCCTCTTTGTGGCAGTAAGAGTTATTACAGTTTTATTAGATGCAAAATAATAATTATAATAAAACAACAACATGACATCAGCATCATATAACAGTCATCAGCTGCACTGCTCTTTAAACATTGGTGAACAGAATTTTGATAAATCCATATTGCTCGACAACTCTATTTATATCCACATTTTAAAGTGGGAACACACTGGGTTTTCTTATTTTCTAAGATCAGTCTCTGTTTACCTTAACGCTATACTGTACTGGTCCATGGCTTCTTGGTAATCATTGACAGCCACCAGGAAATCTCCCAGCATTCTGTGCAGGACACAGTCACTCTGATTGGCCAAGGCATTCCTCAGGAGAGCGATCCCCTCTTCATATTTCTGTTCTCGGCCTTTAAACACAAACATACACAGAAAATGATCTCATCTGTCTATCAAGCTTAATTTTCATCGACTTTCATCTTGTTCATTGTACGTACTGAGCAGCTCCGCCTTTTTGACCACAGCCTTGGTGTAGTCGGGTCTCTGGGCCAGTGCTTTGTCCAGCAGGGTTTTGGCTTTCTCCTGAGTCACTGGGTCTTCCAGGCATACTGTGGCAAGGATAGTAAGAGTCTGCGCATTGGCCCCCAGAGTCTTATAGATGTTGTTTGCCATTCCCATAGCCTCTCGAATCCCATTGGATGCCAGGTAACAATCGATCAGACCTGGAGTGATTAATATCAAGGTTAATGGAATCAAAACAGAAATGTATCACATCTGAAAACATGGCGAGAAAATAAGGATATAAAAACAAACATACCTTCATAGCAGTCGAGCCGGCAGGGTGCCAGGCGCATGGCCTCTCGGAAATGGATGATGGCTTCCTGAACTCGGCCCATGTTTCTCAGTGCGGCCCCCTTCAGGAGGAGAGCCTGTACACTGTTGCTGTTCAGCTGGATGGCCTTGGCCCCCAGGTAGAGGGCCCTGGAGTACCGCTTGCTATAAAAGCTGTGGCAACTAAACAACAAATTCAAAGGATTACAAAACTTAGCTAGACAATGATACTATATGATGTAGATTTTGTCTGAAAAAGACAAAGCTGCCCATCTAGCAATGTACTTGAATGACATTTGTCTCAAGTCAAGGCCTACTTCAACTCAGACTCACCCAGAGATCACCCAGGGTTCAGCATGCTGGTCTGATATATTAAATAATCGTCCACCCAGGACTTCAACATCCTCCAGGTGACCCTCACGGGCCATGAGATAGCCGTATACATCCATTCCTGCAAGTGCAAACAACAAAACTCCTATTTTATCTGGACACCAAGACATCCCATGATTCAACGTCTTGTTTAGGGCTGCTAACACAAGTGTGAAGCTTATGCAAGACCACTGCAATAATAATAGCTGTCAATCAAGCAATGAAAATAAAAGTGTTCTTAACTGCAAAATCCATTTTTAACTGTAACAGATACTAAGTCAATCAACACAAATGTACAAATATCTCTTTCCTGTGACTCACCTTTAATGAGATATGGATCCAGCATCTGGGCTTGTTCAAATTTCAGAATGGCATTTTTGGTGTCACCTGCCCTGAAGTAAACATCTGCCAGGCTCACCAGGAGGTCCACATTGTCCCGCAAGAGAGATTTCTTCTCCAAAGAGCTGAAACAGGATTTTACACATCAAACAAACACACTGTCATGAGAAATAAAAAAAAAACTGCAACATACAGCCCTTTTGTACAGGTCACTGTATTCTGCTCACCAAATAGTGTTAATAGCTCTTTGATTGTCTCCGGCGTGTATGAAGGCGTATGCTTTGATCCAAACAGAGAGCCAGTCCAGGTTGGGGATGCTCTGGATCACATCCACAGTCATGGATGCCACTTCAGCTCCTTTTACTGACAGAGAGAGAAGGCCTGGAGGAAAAATAAGATTTCAAAAGTTAAGAGAGATCCACTGATTCAATCACAGCTTTTGTAGGCATTTGTATACAAACAGAAGAGCAAGTGTCTCTGGCGGTTTTAATGTGGCTTGTTGCACTACAGTGTCACTGGAGACATTCATACCAATTATTGCGTCCAAGGCAAGGGGACACTGTCTGAGCACCTCTTTGTAGCTTGTCACAGCAGAACGTTCCTGACCAGCTTTCCTGTACAGGTTTGCCAGCATCATGTTGATCTAACACAAGAAAGAAATGCAACATCCATTTTTATTATTGTATCATGCATAAGCTAATGCACTAAAAAGTTGTTAAATAAATTCAAATTATGAGGCTATTGTTTTGCTCAACATCATCATCATGACAATATCTCTAATAGTTGCTTTTAACCTGAAAATACAATAATAAAACTGTCTAGTGAAGTAGAACAAACAGGAAAGTCATACCCCCATTGTGTTTTTTTTATTTTTGAAACTACAACTTAGTTCCTATGGTCCCAAACTTAAGGTTCATCTATTCTTTCGTACATCGTATGTTGCTCTACATTTTCAGAAGTCTTCTGCAGCTATTGCTTTTTGTACAACAACACACACAGAAGTCTCACTTCAGATACAGATGTGGTTAAAAATTGATCTGTATATTTTTAAGAAAAGTAAAAATTATGAAGAAAACAATGATTATAACTGAGAGTAGTAGTCTACCTTTGGAGTCCTTTGTCTGGAGGGAATCCCATCAAGCACCGCAATGGCATCTTTATCCAGTTTCAAAATTGTGTAGCATTCCGCTATCTTGTACTTTACCTCAATTTCTGACGGCAAACTCTGAAAGACAACATTCAATGTAATGAATTTATCAATTACCATTTATGCCAACAGATCAAGTCAGTGGTGTGGATTATTCAAGAATAGTAACACATGACATTTAACAGTGCCTTTTCTTTTAAATCATGTTCCAGGCTATAAATTATACCCATAAAACATTGTTAAACAAATCTGTACACCATTAGTCTGACAGCATTTATGGTATCCGTCTGTTTAAGTTCGTTCTGCCGATATTTCATTTTAAGCCTTTGTCAGCTGCTGCTGAAGTCCAAAGGCTACTTTGGATTGTTGGGTTCTCTGTTAAATTTGTAAGGTCTATACCTTACTTTGTTAAGTGCTGTGTGATAATGTGTTGTAAACTGCGCTCTACAAATAAAGCTGAATTGAATTGAAATTGAATTGCTAGTGATGATAGCAGTGAACAGCTCCAGTTCAATCTAAAATTTTACATTTCATATTTAAAAAAAGAAAAACCACATACCTGTGCCTGTATGTTAGAGGCGGCTCCACCAGTAGAGGTACGAACTTTAGATGTTTTGCTGAGCACCTTCTTCTGCTGCAGAGCCATACTGTATTTGCAGGCAGCATTGCGATACTCCTTATCATGGAAGATGGCATCAGCGTGGTAAACCAACAGCTGGTACTTCTGGGCCGGTGAGAATAGCTCTCTTTAATCAAAGACATACAAAAAATAAAGTCATCAAAGTTGACATAACTTGTTTCTCTACTGCACACATGATAATGACGTGAACAAAGACTTCAAATGATGTAACAGAGAATATAGAGGACCAAACCAGACTGCTGAAAACTGCTGAAAATCAAATTCATAAAATTGTGCTGCACAATACACCAATATTAGGAAAGCCTCATTACTCTCTTGTGGGTGTGACAACCACTTTATACTTCTCTCATCCTTGAATTTCCCCAAGGGGATGAATAAAGTATCCACCTAATACTAGCCAGTAAAATGGGAGAGCCCAGACACACCACAAAGCCCATTCATAACAAATGTTTTATCTACACAGACGAAGGGATCCAACAAAACCAACTTGGCAAAGCATCGCACTGAAATACATGCCAACTTGTACAAAGGATCGATAAGCAAATATAACACATAAATAATACCATCCTGGCCTTGAATGTAAGTCAAGCGAGTGTGTTTCATTTTGTGACAAGCTAACTTTTCATTTAAATTGGCTTCATCTTTTTAGCCAACTGACCAATGTGACGGACACCTCTATATGTAAAAGCAGCGTTCACAGTGGTAACATTAAGTCTTGTTTCTGCAAGCTGCTAAAAAATTAGGCATTCACACATATACAGTTCCTGACTAAATTCCTGCAGAAAGAGTGCACATGGATGATTAAAATAGGCACTAAAGTTGTGTTGCACTTATCTCTGCAAGGATTTAACATTTAATAGGCAGCAGTGTAACATGTTCTAGCTCCATGTAAGTGTTTTGGTTTGTTTCTTTAAACACTATGCTACAATTATTCACTAAACAAATTTTAAAAAATAAAATAAAGATAAAATAAAAAATTACACTCCACGATCTGTACTAGAATATGCCGTTACTTTCAATATGTTTTAGATGTTGCTGTAGTATCGTTTCAGTATCTGTATCGATATACTTAGGCAGGTATGTATCGAAGTCTGAATTTTGGTATCCTGACAACACTAAACCAAAACAACATCAACCAAGATAGTGAAAGTGTCAATTTGTTCAAAATACAAAGCTGTAAACAGTAATGTAAACAGTTCATATGAGGCGTAGAAGCATCCTGTAACAGCTTTCTTCTACTTAAAGGAGCAACTGTTGGGCTACATCAAAACAAAACCTGCGACTTTGACAGCACAAATATAAACTACATAGGCACTATTTTTAAATCAATTAGACTACAACATCAAGATTTCGAAAACCGCAATTATGGAAAACAACAATATGCGTGACAGGTTCCCCTGAACAATATTCACAAATATGTTGAATTTACAACACTTCAAGCTAACTGCTATTAGCACCGTGCAGTGCAGGAGACTCTGAATACGGCTATTTCTCGGGAATGAGCCTACACTGTATCCACCCTTTAATCTGAATAGCACTATTATTAACGCTGATAACGTTTGAGGTGAACACTTGAGCCAATACTGTATTCCACAATCACATTTCATAATGTTAGATGCTATTTCGGCTACCCCTGTTACAGAGTGACAACATCTAACACTTGTATAGGAGAGCGCTCTCCAGGATATAGACGGCCCCCACATTGACATTACTTACGGATTGTTATTACTCATCGTGAGCAACAAACTGCTCAATATCCGGACATTGGAGTGAAGGCCGGCGGCAGCCATGTCCCGCACATGATCTATCACATTCATTTTCGGTTATTTTAAAGGGCTGGGTTCAGGTTTCAGTCTCGAGTTAAAAGTTTGGGCTGGAAGCAGCTAACGTTAGCTAGCATCTGGTGTATTAAATATGGCGCCGAATAACCTTTCTTCCGCATATTGGTGCTTTTAGGTGATCTTTAGAGGCTCGTACTTCCAACCACCACAGATGTAAATACGACATCTTAAGGAAATTAACGACTTTGGCAAATAAATGTAGTTTTTAATGGACATTGTTTCCACTTTAGAAGTATTTAGCGAGAAATAACGTTGAACAGATAAGTAAATCGTTCTTATTCTTATCTTAAATAAGGTTAAGAGGTTGGTATTCACATATTTCCGATATTTATGAACGCATCTTCGGTGTTTACTGCAGCAACATTTTAAATTTATTACTGTAAAAATACTAAATTATACTTTTATTTTGGTCAACAATTATTGAATTAAACACAAGATAGATTTTCTATTTAAAAAATGTGAGTACTCGCCACTTGCAAAGTGAAACTAAATGAACAATAAATAAGCATAATTCTTTCAAAAAAAGAATGTGCAATTAATCATTTATCATTAGGTTTAAGGATACGTTGTCTCTGACATATTTATGCATCTTTTATTGAGCATCTGCTTTTTTCTCATGGGAAAAACCCATGCCACTTGTAACACAGTTTTAAACAAAATCAATTTTTAGTGTGTTTTGTGGTTGTACAACCACTGAGATGTAAAGTAAAAGCTCTTAAGATATGAAGACATTTACTTCTGCCATTTCCAGGCCTCTTTACAACTAGATAGCCTCCCTACAAACAAGTAAGAATTTGACATAAGTACATGCGTGGTGACAAGCTCACCATAAACAACCTAAAAACAACAGCATTGCTATGAATTCAGCAAATTCCATTTCAAATGTTCACTGAGAGAGAATGTTAGAGCCAACAGGAAGTCAATCACAGATGCAGAGAGTTTTTCTCCTGAAGGGGGTGTGGACAGCAGCAAGTCAGTGGTTTTCAGAACTACACTGAAACAGCCTGTGGAGAACAGGACTAAAACGTGGGGTTATATATTCGGGTGAAATGAACAATCTTTGCAGTATACTGAGCTGAAAATTTAAAATCCACAGTGTGGGGACATGTAAGATTTTCATTAATTTGCTAGAAAGGGACACAATATGGGACCTTTAAGATCTTCCCCTGCTGCTTTGACATATCTCCTGACTTTTAAACTCAGCGCCATGGGTGTCAGAGCCTTGAGTTGCACTTCACCATGACTCGCCATTGTTACACATCTGTCAGCTGGATTTTATTGCACAATTCAGATCACAACTATAACATATCTATTGTAACTCAACAGAAGTCTGTTCATGTCATAACCCCTCTGATCTCATTTTTGTTACTTAATTATTGTCTTATTATGTCTAATGTTTTGTGGCAACACATAAAAAGTACTGATATTATTATTTACAGTGATAAAAAAAATATTTTAGTTAGTAATATTTTATTTTGATGACTAAAAATAACATGTTGCTCCCACTGCTCATTAACACCACCAATCAGCAACCACTCAAGTACTGAGATAACAACTATTCAGTCCTAAATGAGGTACAATTTTACAGTCATACAAGTTTTATAAACCAAATCACAATAGTTACAGTAAACCATGAGGTAAACAACAACCAGACGGTCAGATAGTGTTGTCATAAAAGCCAAATGGGCTGTAATTGTCAAAAGACAACAAAGCATTTATGTTTGAGAATGCCTTTGCTGAAACATATAGTATATTTGGTTTCGTAGCTGAAATGAAAGCCTCCTCTGGGACCTGACCTTCTATGGTACTGAAAAGTAGTGCATTACATATCATGTAAATCATATGGGCTGGGAAAGATGGGGAGGGAAGCTGGAAATAATGATTTCCAGGAGGGCTGAGAGAGAAAAAGGATAGTGATATGTACAGGTGATAGACACAAACTATTGAGAGAATACTCTACAGTTTCAGTGCCATAATATCACATAACAAAACTGCAAAGTTTGACTACATGAAATGCTCCCTCCCTCACCCAAAAAACAGCACATCCCTTGATAGTTCAGTTTATTTGGCCTCCGTGCAGGCACATCACTGTGCAGCCACCTGGGCCTCTCGTCACCCCGCCTGTGCCCACACACCCATCCAGGTGGAGGCCTGCAGGCACCACTGGTTGCCCTTTTGAAACCGCCATGTGTCCCCCACCACCTCCACCAAAGCCTTGCACTCCAGGCAGTCTGAGGGGTGACAGGCTTGATGTTGAGGTGCATGCAGAGGCCAGTGCAGGGTCCACGACTGGTTATATCTGGTCCAGGGCAGCCACACCAAACTTAATCTCAGCACAGTGCGGCGCCTTAGAACTGGTCAGCCTTTGTTCGCTTTTAAGTTTTGCTTGCGTTCTCTATTTGATGTGTATCAAGGTGAGCTCATATCTTTATCCTTATTTATTTTTATGTAGATGTGTACATTTAAATATTTGTGTTTTAAGTTATTGTGTTGACATTAAAATGACAACATGTGTACCTTGTTAATGGCCTAAAATACTTAATTCAAAGTAAGTTTGCTAAATTCTGAACAAACCTTGAAAATCAATTAAAAATAAAATACTAAGCTTCAAATTATACTTATTTACTTGCATTCCTGAAAAGAAAATTTTGTTTTAGTGGTTGAATGTTATGCTTGATTCATTTCTGACTTCTCAGAGAAGCCCGTTGGATCAAATTTGGGTATAAAAAGGTGAATTCAGTTTGAAATTCCTCATTCCTGTTCAAAATGGTAAAACACAGAGAGCTGAGTGCGCATTAAAGCACTTTATGATGCTCGATGGTATATATATACACACACACACACACACACACACACACACACACACACACACACACACATACATACATACAGTCCTCCACAAATAGTACCTGTATGTGTAGATTTTCAGCCATCCAGGTCATGGTAATTCTAAGACCATTAGTAATGAGTAGCTGGACTTTTCTGTTAGTCCTTGATGATGTTTTATCACTCATCTTGGATGATGCCAGTAGAGTCCAGTTGCTGTTTACTGAAGCTCTTGAGATCAGGTTGGTGCATGTTGCCTTGAAGTCACATAAACACAGGCATCTGCAGCCGCGCATGCGCACAGCCGAACCAGCAGCTGAACCTTGTGTCAAAACACAGAGGGAAATCAGCAGCAGGCAGCGCAGGTCCTCATCTCGATTTCAGCTTTGGCTCTATTTTTCCGAAAGTGTTCGTCTACACAGAGTGTTTTTCCAATTACGTCCGCGTACCATGACCGAACAATCAGCATTACTTCTTCGAAAACAACTGGCAGGTAACGTGAACATTACAATTCTGATCAAATAGAGCCGATATAAAGGCTGCCTGCCTAGCAGCTAACGTTAGCTTTTTTTTGTAGCTACGCAAAGCTATGTTTACGCCATAGGAGTAACCAAGCAGCATAATGGGTTCCTTTATCACTGCAGCTGAGTATGTGGCTAAGCTGCTTTGATTAGCTGCTCTCTCTTGGGAACAAAGACATATATTTCGAAGTACACAGGGCTGTAACTAACATATCTGAACCGATACTGAATCGCTTCGCCAACCTTGCTAGCGGGCTAGCAAGTTCGGCATTAGTTAGCTGACGGAACAAAGGAATAATCAATCCAGGGACTCATCTGCTCTGATGACTTTAGCATTGCTAATGATAGCTGAGAACACTGTGAGCCTTTTATAGACGACTATGTGACTACATCAGAAGCAACTTGATTAGAAATACAGGCTCATAGTCGAACTATGTAAGATCATATCTAATGTTTCTATGTCAAATCTGGCTCAGTCTCTAGCGCTGTGAGTTAGTGGGTTTAACTGAGGATCTCAGTGTTAAAGCCCTCAGTGATGAAACTGTTATTGTTCTCTCTTCATCGTCAGCTTATTTTCAGTGTCATCGCCGATTTTGTTACAGCGATGTACTTAATAATGCCACACACACGGATCCTGACACCGAGACACTAACACCCAGGATGTACAGTTTGGTGTGCAGCTGCCTGACAGCCCAGTTCATGCTGTTCAGTCAGACAGATAAATCAATGGGCCGGTTTTTTTTAATACTGATGTGGTATAGTCTTTTTTTCTTCTTCTTTTTTACATCACTGGTCCCTATACTGATTCTAATAAAAACCCTAGTGGTTGCTGACGCTGGCTGTTGTACTTGATTTTGGCTCAACACTTTGAATGAGGGCTGCACAATATTGGAAAATTAGACAATGAAAAGTTTAGTTTTTCAGATATATATATTGCAAAATTAAAAAAAAAAAACATGAAATTAATCTATTTGAAAAGAATTAATGATTGGGGTGATTTTGTAGGGGCGTGCATCTACATGGAAAATTAAAAAATAATTTTAAGTAAGCCAAGAAAATGACGTTTTACTGTGGAACATTTGTTGACCAAACCTTCATATGTGGTGAAACATTGACAAAGGCATTGACATTGACATTTTTTTTTGTTTTTTGCTTTGGATGGCATCCACATCTGGCTGTGATCTCACCATACAGAGCTTTGTGTTATACAACTTTAAAACAAATTAGTTATGTGTAATAGCAACACTGGCAACACACTGCTGACAGAGCACCTGTTTATGCTCATCATCCTTTCTGTAGCTGAAAAGTTTCCATACAACTGATGATGTGTTTCTTTTTGCAACCCAGTTTTCCTTTTCAGTGTTTGTCTTCTTTCTCCCTCATTTTTCAAGTTTTGAAAAAATTGTATTTTTAAAAAAACCCTTCAAAAGCCCTAGATTATGTTCCACCAGTTAGACTTATGTAGATTAGTTGTGAAAAATAAGAATGTATTTTTTATATCATGCAGCACATAATAACGTGTAGCATAATGTGTGTGAGTTCATTTGCTTTACTTCACACTGCACTTCTGACTATTGCGCATATGTACATCACTGTGTTGATACTGAAATGATATAAGGTGCAGCCCTAATATGAACAATGTGCAGATATAATTTTTATGACTTTGGTGCTGTTATGTAGTAATTACTTTAACAAGGAGTCAGTGATCACTAA